GTCCTGGTGAAGATGAAGGAGGTGGCAGAGGCCTACCTGGGCCACAAAGTGTCCAACGCCGTCATCACAGTCCCGGCCTATTTCAACGACTCCCAGAGACAGGCCACTAAAGACGCAGGTGTGATCGCCGGCCTCAACGTCCTGAGAATCATCAACGAGCCCACGGCTGCCGCCATCGCCTACGGCCTGGACAAAGGCCGCTCCGGAGAACGCAACGTCCTCATCTTTGACCTAGGAGGAGGCACCTTCGACGTGTCCATCCTCAGCATTGACGACGGCGTCTTTGAGGTCAAGGCCACGGCCGGAGACACGCATCTGGGAGGAGAGGACTTTGACAACCGCATGGTCAACCACTTTGTGGAGGAGTTCAAGAGGAAACACAAGAAGGACATTAGCCAGAACAAGAGGGCCCTGAGGAGGCTGCGCACAGCCTGTGAGAGGGCCAAGAGGACCCTCTCCTCCAGCTCCCAGGCCAGCATCGAGATCGAGATCGACTCTCTGTTTGAGGGACAGGACTTCTACACCTCCATCACCAGAGCGCGCTTTGAGGAGCTGTGCTGTGCTCAGACCTGTTCAGGGGAACACTGGAGCCTGTGGAGAAGGCCCTGAGGGACGCCAAGATGGACAAAGGACAGATCCATGACATAGTCCTGGTGGGAGGCTCCACCAGGATCCCTAAAGTCCAGAAACTCCTGCAGGACTTCTTCAACGGCCGCGACCTGAACAAGAGCATCAACCCAGACGAGGCGGTGGCGTATGGCGCGGCCGTCCAGGCCGCCATTCTCTCCGGGGACACCTCTGAGAAGGTCCAGGACCTGCTGCTGCTGGACGTGGCTCCTCTGTCCCTGGGCATCGAGACGGCCGGAGGCGTCATGACCGCTCTCATCAAACGCAACACACCACCATCCCCACCAAGCAGACCCAGACCTTCACCACCTACTCCGACAACCAGCCCGGAGTCCTCATCCAGGTGTACGAAGGGGAGCGCGCCATGACCAAGGACAACAACCTGCTGGGCCGCTTCGAGCTGTCGGGCATCCCCCCTGCCCCCCGAGGCGTCCCTCAGATCGAAGTGACCTTTGACATCGACGCCAACGGCATCCTGAACGTGTCCGCCGTGGACAAGAGCACCGGCAAAGAGAAGAAGATCACCATCAACAACGACAAGGGCCGGCTCAGCAAAGAGGAGATCGAGAAGATGGTGCAGGACGCAGAGAAGTTCAAAGCTGAGGACGAAGTCCAGAGGAACAGGGTCAGTGCCAAGAACGCTCTGGAGGCCTACGTGTTCACCGTGAAGAACAGCGTCCAGGACGAGGCCGTGAGCAGCAAACTGAGCCAGGACGACCGCAAGAAGCTGCTGGACAAGTGTGAGGAGACCATGAGCTGGCTGGACAACAACCAGCTGGCTGAGGTGGAGGAGTACCAGCACAAGCAGAAGGAGCTGGAGAAAGTGTGCAACCCCATCATCAGTAAACTCTACCAGGGAGCCCCACCCACAAGCACCTGCAGAGAGGAGGCCCGCGGAGGCTCCCAGGGGCCCACCATCGAAGAGGTGGACTAAAGCAGCAGACCTGAACTCTGGGACTGAAACATACTGTGGACTGTTAAAAGACTCATTACTTTTTACAACTGTTCTGCTGCTTTGAGAAGTGTTATGTCCTGACACCATCACAAATGTAAATAATTCGTTTTTACAGTGAACTACGGTGATGCTGGTTCTTCACATTTCAGGGCACGATAAATGTTTTCTTTTCTTTTTTACAAGATGTTATTTATTGTAAGATTTGCAATGCTGGATTTTGCAATAAACCTGATAAATATTATAGAGTGTCTTGTGTGTATTGATTAGCAAAACACAAATACAAAATATTTTTCATTCAGTAATAGAAGCCCTCAGTCAAAAGCAGATTAGTCCATCCTTTATATATATTTTTATTGGGCAAAAAACTAAAATTCCACCAGGTATGTCTTTTACTCTTACCATTTCTTCTTTCTGCCTGAGTAGAAACAATATTTTTAATAAACAGAAAATAATTAAGTGATGTTATAAACAGTTTTAACATGATATCAGTGACTTGAAGTTTTTAAAAATATCAAAATCACCTATAAAAATGTTTTCAGAGTAAATGCTTTTTATTTCATGAATATATAAATGTTATTTTTGCTTCGTTTGACATTTGACTGCTGTTATATTAATGTAGGTTTAGGTATTAAAGGTCTTATATTATGCCAAATTTACTCTTGTGAGCCTCAAGTCAGGTTAGAATGACGTTATCTGATCAAAAACATACCTGCATTATTAGTCTGTCTGCATCGCCAAAGCTCAAAATGCTCTGTTCCTCCTTGTGATGTCATGAATTGGTAGTTTTCAAATGAATTTCAGCTACATTTTATATAGAAGAGATTGGCAATTCCAGGACCGAAATCAACTGTGTTTTTCTGTTTGAGAGAAGAAATTAGCCTAAAAATTCAGAATCTGAGTGTTAAAAATTAGTGATTAAAACAAAACACAGCACAGGTTTGGTTTTTGGTGAGGAAATAACATTAAAACATAGATCATGGGCCTTTTAAAACTTGAAACCAATGCACAGCAAAACATTAGTGATAACCTAAGGAGGAACAAGTCCACATGCAGCCAACAGGTGGCACCAAAGCACCAAGAATAAAGTGCAGAGCGTCACTATCAGTGGTATTATTAGTTGACATTTTATTAGGGCCTAACGGGGAAAGAACGTGGATGGTACAAAACTCCTGAGTCTTCTGCTGCTGGAGGTTTGACGTATTCGCAAATCATCTACAAATAATGTTTATGTACAATTTGTTCCTTGAGGACAAACACAACATTAGTTCTACATCTACGAAACAATATAGAGGATTTTTTTTCTTCAGTGTTGGGAAGGTGATGTTTAAAATGTAATCCCCTACACATTACAGATTACATACCCCAAAATGTAGTTTGTAACATAATCCATTAAATTACTTAAAGTGAGTAATGTAATCTGAATACTTTGGATTACTTGATTTGCTGTGGAGAAACAAAGACGAGGAAATCGTAACATAAGAAGTTTTGTCTGATAAAAGAAAATAAAAAGTCCAGACTTTACTGAACCAAATTAAAAAATATTATTGACAGAAGACAAGGAGACATGGTCCATGCAGCATGATTTAGTCCTGTTAAATCCTGGTTTAGTCGTGGTTTAGACCTGGTTTGGACCTGGTTTAGACCTGGCTTTAGTCCTAACTTAGTCCTGGTTTAGTCTTGGTTTAGACCTAGTTTTAGTCCTGGTTTTGTCCTGCTTTAGACCTGGATTTAGTCCTGTCTTAGTCCTGCTTTAGACCTGGATTTAGTCCTGGTTTACACCTGGTTTTAGTCTTGGTTTAGACCTGGTTTTAGTCCTGGTTTAGACCTGGATTTAGTCCTGGTTTAGTCCTGATTTAGACCTGGATTTAGTCCTGGTTTACACCTAGTTTTAGTCCTGGTTTAGTCTTGGTTTAGACCTGGTTTTAGACCTGGTTTAGACCTGGTTTAGTCTTGGTTTAGACCTGGTTTTAGACCTGGTTTAGACCTGGGTTAGTCCTGGTGTAGACCTGGATTTAGTCCTGGTTTAGTCCTGCTTTAGACCTGGTTTTAGTCCTAGTTTAGTCCTGGTTTAGTCTTGGTTTAGACCTAGTTTAGGCCTGGTTTTAGTCTTGGTTTAGACCTGGTTTTAGTCCTGGGTTAGTCCTGGTTTAGTTCTGGTTTAGACCTGGTTTAGACCTGGTTTAGTTTTAGTCTTGGTTTAGACCTGGTTTAGTCCTGGTTTAGACCTGGTTTAGTCCTGGTTTAGTCCTGGTTTAGTCCTGGTTTAGTTCTGGTTTAGTCTTGGTTTAGACCTGGTTTTAGTCCTGGTTTAGACCTGGTTTAGTCCTGGTTTAGACCTGGTTTTAGACCTGGTTTAGTGTCCGGGAATGAGTGGAATTACTGAAAAATAAAATAAATAAATAAAAAGGGATACAGCCCGAAATGTGAAAACAGGAAAATCCCTCTGTGTAATCCATTTATTTCAACAAAGTAACTGTAATCCAGTTACCACTCACTGAAACAGTAACTGTAACTGAATACAGTTACTCATAATTTGTACTCTGATTACATAACTCCGGTACATGTAATCTGTTACTCCACAACACTGGTTATCTTGCACGTATTTACTTTTTAACATTGTTTACACACAGTAATGTCAGATTTTTAAAGGTGCATTGTGTGACTTTTCTGGTGGAGCTTTCGTCAAACGCTTTTCTCCACAAAAATGTTATTACTTGTCTGGAATGTTTCGCAGTATGGCATTAAAACTTTCTACCTTCATGAAGACCAAACCAGACCAAGTCAGAATCCCTGTTTTTTTAGGTGTTTCCGTGTTATTAAAAATGTAATTTAATACATGTAAATTAGAGCTGTTAGTCATACTGAGGAGCATTCTAGAGCAGAGCAATGACATATCCACAGAAAAAAAGCAGGAAAACTTGCACAGTGCTCCTTTAAGAAACATGAAGATACTCAAATTTGGAGCACTACTGTGTATTTAAAAACACAAGAAATCTCCAGAAATCATTTTATTACATAGACGTAAACTATCAAAGCAGTCAAGTTCGTTCATTTATCTTATTGCAGCATGTTTACGACCAACTGGTGTTTTTCAGAATCTAGAATGAAATAATCTGAGATGGGGACAAAGGCCAGACGAAATCCCCCAAAATTCAATAAAACTTCATAAATGTTGAAGATGTTTAGTACTGACAAAACCAAACAAAACTCATTGTATTACAAGAGAAATCTTTATTTGAACAATATTCATTTTAGTTGTTCCTCATTTGTATGAAGTATTTTTGGCCTATAGCAGGGGTTAGGGTTAGGGTTTGGAGCTCGCTTACAAAACAAAAATCCCAGAGAGCTACTAATGTTATGTTAATGGTCACATGAAATTGAGAAAGTCATGGCAAGTTTTAGACAGGATACAGTCAGATGCCTATAAAACATAAACCTTTATTCATTTATTACTGCACAAGTTAGGAGTCAAAATTATACATTTACAGGGGTAATTAATCAGATTTTAGTAATTAAGTGCAATATATATTATTCAGATAACCCTTGGCGAGCTACTTGGAAGGGGGTGGAGAGCTACTGGTCGCTCCTGAGCTATGACTTGGAGACCCCTGACCTATGCTGCTCAACAAAAGCAGAACACCGTAATGTCATTTTTGGTCAAAACATGTACAAAGTTCAGGTCATTTTGTTTGTATTTGAGACCTCCTTTATCATGCGAATAAAGATCGTGAAAAATATTGAGCTCAAAATTGCCCTTTTTTGACTCTTATTTGTCAGTTCCTGTATCTGCCTTTGTATCGTGAGCCAAAAATAAAGAGTTGTGCAAAGATGAAAGGCAGAAACTGTGTATATTTATGTTTGTGACTTAGTTCATAATTATATGTTATTTTAAAATCCAACCTCTCGCTTCCTTCTTTTTGTTGCGGCCTTTGCACACGATGTTAACACATTAAATAAACAAACCTTTGTGCTCAATTATACTTCATTGATCTTTAATGTGAAAGTATTTGGCGTATTTTTTCATACTGTACACACTGTACTGCAAAGTCACTTGTCTAACTGTTTAACCGTATAAGTGTCCTGATCAGCTCTAAACAGGAAATCCAAAGCTCTTCTACATCAGTGGTCCTCAACCTTTTTTGCGTCACGGACCGGTTTATTGTCCAGCAATATTTCGCAGGCCTGGGGAGTGGGGGTTGCGCTCTTTTCGGGACAATATTTTCACGGATTGGTGGCGAGAAGACCGAGATGCAGTCTGTGCGGCATGGTTTAGTCCTGGTTAAATCCTGTTTTAGTCGAGATTGTAGACCTGGTTTAGACCTTTTAGTCCTGCTTTTCATTTTGGTTTAGAGGTGCAGGAAACACGGAAGCAGGGACAGTCCACGTGGCGTACGGTAGGGCAGGTTCGTGCTTTTGCAGCCCGTTAATGGTACACGGCCTGGAGGTTGGGGACCCCTGTTCTTTATCATTTCAGACAAACACCTCGATGACTGGACTTTGGTGAGGCTTCCTTATAATGGATGGAAGTTTGGGCAAAATCAAGCAAATAACAATGATCATGTCAGTTTCTGCCTTTTGTCTTTGCACGACTCCTTATTTTTGGCTCATGACACAAACGGTCAAAGATCAATTTTGAGCTCAATATTTTTTGCATACCAATTATTTCTTCATTATAGCAACTAGATGTCAAATTTTGGGAGCCCGATCTATTCTGTATTTGTCTGGACAAAACAGAAACAAATTTTTCTCAGTTTCACACTCTGGAGAGTTAAGCTCTTTTGTACGGAAGCCAAGAGGGGTCACAACAAACACAAACGCGACAACACAACAAAACGGGACTCTATTTTCCGACGGACCGATCAAGCGGCAAGTGAAGAAGAACTACAATGTGAAAAGTAAAGGAACGGAGAAGTTGGAAACGTAAGTAAAAGTCATTTATTGTCTTATCATTATTCATTTCACGTTGTAGTTCTTCTTTTTCACTTGCCGCTTGATCGGTCCGTCGAAAATAGGGTAATTTCCGTGGTGGCTTTTTAATGTGTTGCGGCATTTGCATTTGTGTTGTTGAGTTTGTATTTGTTGCGGCGTTTGCGTTTGTTGTGACCCCGTTCGGCTTCCGTACTTTTGCCTTTGTAGGACAGAATAAAATTTTGTGACGTCGACTGAAACCAGCACTACAAAATACATATCAGCAGATTAATATATGTTTTTGGTTTGCTCAAAATGAAAACTGAAATGTCTCCAAAACAACCCTAACCATCTTTATAAGGAAGCCCCATTATCCAATACCCACAATACTTTACATATTAACTAAAACTTTATTCTGAAACATTCTGCATCCAGCTAAAAACGGAAAACTATTCATTTCACGGTCCCTACTGTTTGCGTTTCTTCCGTTTCTGTGCTTGTTGCTTCCTCCTTTCCGGCTTCGTTTTCTTCTGATTTGTCGCCTTTGTTGTCTGGGTCTGGGATTTCTGATTTCCCGCGCTCTGCTGACTTTTCTTGAGCTCCTCGTGGCCCATTGGCTCGATGATGGCTCCGAGCTGCGTCACCACTCTGGGCTGCGTGACCTTCTTGACAGTTTTTTCACTATTCCACGTCCTTCCCAGCGGACAGCGGATAGTGTTTTCGAACTGCGTGTGGTCTCCGAAAGGAAACGGCAGACTGTTCACTTGGTGTGAGGCGACACTTTTGTCCCTTTGCTCCGACATGATCACCGCAGGAAGTTTTGCATCTTTACGTTGCACCGCTGGCTGAGTTTTGATTCGAAACTTTTTGCGTTTCCTTCTCAACGGCTTCAAACCCAAACCGCCCCATTCGCCCCATCCAGGAAGCGTCAAGTCCGCCACTTTCGGTTTCCCAGCTTCTTCCTGTTTGCGCTTTTCTTTCAGGAAGTCCGAAACGACGTCATCTCCCGCGAACGCCTCTTTGATGAGCCCACGCTGGTCCATTTCCTCCTCCAGATCCTCCTCTCCTGCTTCTTCTGTTGTGAGCTTCAGCGGGACAGATACAACTTTGCTCTCTTTGGTCAGAACTTCCTTCAGTTCAATATTACGTTTTCTCTTTTTGGCTTTTTTGGGCGGCGGTTCTTTTGCGGTTTCTTCCACCTGCGCGATTTCAACCACATCGCTTTCCACGTTTTCCGACATTTCTGGTACTTCTAGATTTTCCGCGTCCTCCAAAGTCTGGATCCTTGTGAGCCCTTCTTCTAGTGGCGTCGAGTTGTCTACGATCACTTCAACTTCTGGCTTCTCAGGCAAACTGCGTATTTTTGACGTAAATTCTGACAACTCATCTTCAGCGACAACGTCCTCCTCCTCTTCCTCCTCATCATCATCATCCTGGTCAGCCATTCGGTCTTCTTCTTCTTCTTTACGCTTTTGACGCCTATTTTCAAACTCTCGCAACAACACCTCTTCTTCCTTCACCTCGTTTTCCTCATCGGACGACTCCTCTATCACGACCGCCTCATCCGGCATTTCGGCCGTTTCTTCTTTCTCCCTCTCTTCTTCAGTAAGTTTTCCTCTCATCCACGGGTTTGTCGCGTCTCCCGCTTTCTCCGCCTCGTTCACGAAATCCGGCAGAACCTCCTCCTCTCCGTCCTCTCCCTGGTCGTCTTCCTCGTCGTCGTTATTCAGAGCCGTGACCACCTTCTGCGTGAGCTCTTTGTTCAGTTCCAGCTGCTGCTGCATCGCTTTCCTCGCGTCCTCGTCGTACTTCGCCATTATCGCTTTCGACTTGGCCCACTTGCCGCTGTTCTGATGCTTGAGCGACATCCTTTCTTGCATTCGCGCCATCTCCAGCTTTTTCAACTCCTCTAGAGCCGCTTCGGGATTGCTCTTCACCATCTCGTCGAACTGCTTTAACATTTCTTTTCGTTTTGCCTTATTGTGAACTTTGTGATACTTTTTGCTTTTAATTTTCCTCTCTCTTCGCGCTTTAGCCTCGTAGTACGACTGCAGCGCTCTGGCTTTTTGGAGTTCGGCCCTGCGGATCTTGGCTTCCTCCAGACTCATGGCTTTGAGGGATTCCTCTTCGGCGGGCGTGAGGATGGGGTTGTGTATCGGTTGTTTGTTGGCGTTGAGTAAAGCGAAGATCTCCTGCTCCAGAGGTGTTTGGGTGTTCCACGCGGTCACCACATGCTCGATGGGTTTGGGCCCGGACGGTTCCTGGTTCAGGGGGAAAACTAGCTGCTCGGAGCGCTCGTTCTGCCTGATCACGCTCTTCCACTTCGACACCTCGTCCGAAACTTTCTGGAAGGCGACGTCCCGGTGAATGCGCTCTGTCTCCTGCCTGTAATGAAGAAAAGAAATTGATCATAATCACATGGTCACAGTCAAAGTGTTTTACATCAAGCAACCAGGAACCTTACAAAAGACTCTATAATGTATTGGAAGGAACCTTGGACTGTTTTGTAAAGGACCTTTCTTGGCTCTGAATGGCAGACAATAATCATAATGAACTGAAAAGGAATATAAAGGGTTTTTTTTTTGTTTTTTTTATATTGTGGGAGAAATGTTCCGTGTGGTGCTCTTTGTCACGGAAATAAAATAAAAATAAGAAACAGATGGAAAAGGAAAGAAAAAGGAGAAGAAAAAGGGGGAAAACAAACCAAAACAAAACATGAATGGTAGATAATGCACAGTCCCTGTTGATCCCCCTCCTCCATTTGTATCTATGTTTGTACTGTGTATGTGTGAATGTATATAATGAGTATGTATGTATGTGTACATGTGTGTGCATACTTGTGTATGTGTATGTGTATGTGTGTATATATGTGTGTGTACATGTAACGTATTTTCCGGGCTATTAGTCGCTCTGGATTATTAAGACGCACTGTCATTAAATGGTCTATTTTCAAACTTTTTTCACAAATAAACCGCGTGGGACTTTAAAGGAAACACCAACAGTGTGATGGGTGAGTGGTTTTGTTTGTTTGTTCGTTCACGGTGACTCTGGGCTTTGTTCAGTTGTGGCGTGTAGGGAGGGTGCTGTCTGGGACCAACGGATTGTCGACGTGTTCGCAGTGACTCAGTAGTTCAGTCGTGTCTAGAAGCGGCACGTTGCACTCGCTTTTTCGGTTCGTTCCTCCGTTCCGTTCCTCGTCGGCGTGGAGTGATGAGTGTGTCTGTGGGTGGGTTTTTCGCTGTGCAGTCACTGTCTGCTCCGTGTGTGTTTGTTTGTTCTGCGGGTGGTGCAGCTATGTAGTTTACTGAAGTCGTGCTGGGACACCCGATTGGATTCGTGTATGTGGCGCAGTCGTTTTTTGATGGGGTTGGAGGCTTAAGAGCGCGTCTAATAGCCCAGAAAATACGGTATATATCTGTATGTATGTATAATTAATTATTATTATTATTATTAGGGGTGTAACAATATCCAAGTGTCACAATACGACATCATCACAGTGAACCTCACGATATGATATTTATTGTGATATCTTGTCGACGCAAACAAAACTGTGAATATGCTACTTTTTCCTCTTAAATCTATAAAATGAGGTGTATAAAATGAAAAAAAAAACATACTTTGAACATGAAAATAAGGCATTGAAAAACCTAAATGTGTCCAAAATAAACTAAATAAACATAAATGTGTCCAAAAATAAATAAATAAATACTTATTTCTATGGGTGTAACAATAACCAAAATATCATGATATCGTATCGTCAAAAGTCTCTCAATAATATCGTGGTCTGTCACAATACATCGAATCACAACTTTCTTTGCTTAAATTCATTGTTATGATGTAACACCTGAATAAAATAACATGAACATGAAATAAGGCATAGAAAAAGATAAATGTGTCCAAAATAAACTTTATATCCAGCTGTTCTACAATCTCTGTATTTAAAAATTAAATAAATATACTTATTCGTATAAAAAAAAATCCCAAAACAAACTTTGTGAAGCTTTATCATCGTTTCAACGATCGATTATCGATTATATAAGTTTGGACACACAGGAATCGAAATCGCGATCAAAATTCGATTATTGCACAGACTTAGTGCACTGAATCGAAATATTTATCGTATCGTGGCCTTGTATCGGCAACTTCTTAACAGAGGTGGGACCGAGTCGTTGTTTTGCAAGTCTCAAGTCTTTGACCTCGAGTCCGAGTCAAGTCCCAAGTCTAATACAGCCAAGTCCAAGTTGAGTCTCGAGTCACTGGCCCATAAGTCCAAGTCAAGTCCAAGTCCTCTGCTTTGAGCTTCAAGGCATTTCAAGTCTTTAAACCAAAATACCAAATATAGCTTAGATTTTTGCGATTTATATGACTTTTAAGATAAATTGTAGTTAATAAATCATAGTATATTTATATATGAGTATTTATAGAGTATAAAGAGTTCTAGAAATGTTAATTTTTCATCCCAAGATCTTAGTGTGAATCATTACAGAATAGAAAGAATTCAGATTTAAAAGTGCTTCTCAAATCACGGGCCTCAAGTCCGACTCAAGTCCCAAGTTTCTGACCTTCACGTCCAAGTCGAGTCCCTTCACGTCCAAGTCGAGTCCCTTCACGTCCAAGTCGAGTCCCTTCACGTCCAAGTCGAGTCCCTTCACGTCCAAGTCGAGTCCCTTCACGTCCAAGTCGAGTCCCTTCACGTCCAAGTCGAGTCCCTTCACGTCCAAGTCGTGTCCCTTCACGTCCAAGTCGAGTCCCTTCATGTCGAAGTCATTGAACTTCACGTCCAAGTGGAGTCCCTTCATGTCCAAATCGAGTCCCTTCATGTCCAAGTGGAGTCCCTTCATGTCCAAGTCATTGAACTTCACGTCCAAGTCATTGAACTTCACGTCCAAGTCGAGTCCCTTCACGTCCAAGTCGAGTCCCTTCACGTCCAAGTCGAGTCCCTTCACGTCCAAGTCGAGTCCCTTCACGTCCAAGTCGAGTCCCATCACGTCCAAGTGGAGTCCCTTCACGTCCAAGTCATTGAACTTCACGTCCAAGTCGAGTCCCTTCACGTCCAAGTCGAGTCCCTTCACGTCCAAGTCGAGTCCCTTCACGTCCAAGTCACTGAACTTCACGTCCAAGTGAAGTCCCTTCATGTCCAAATCAAGTCCCTTCACGTCCAAGTCGAGTCCCTTCACGTCCAAGTCGAGTCCCTTCACGTCCAAGTCACTGAACTTCACGTCCAAGTCGAGTCCCTTCACGTCCAAGTCGAGTCCCTTCACGTCCAAGTCACTGAACTTCACGACCAAGTCATTGAACTTCACGTCCAAGTCGAGTCCTTTCACGTCCAAGTCGTGTCCCTTCACGTCCAAGTCGAGTCCCTTCATGTCCAAGTCATTGAACTTCACGTCCAAGTCGAGTCCTTTCACGTCCAAGTCGAGTCCTTTCACGTCCAAGTCGAGTCCTTTCACGTCCAAGTCGAGTCCTTTCACGTCCAAGTCGAGTCCTTTCACATCCAAGTCGAGTCCAAAGTCTTAGTCCATTATATCAAGTCAGGTCTCAAGTCTGACTCGAGCCCAAGTCACGAAGTCACTTCCAAGCCCCCACCTCTGCTTCTTAATGATGTCCCAGCTTTTATTTTGAAAATCTGGTCACGTTCGGCTTTAAACCCTGTTCGTCACCTGGAGAGTGGAGTTTCGAGCGTCTTGCTGCGCCGCTGGAGGGTCTCGATCTGCTTGTGGGCCTTCTTGGTGGCGCTGGGGATGAGGTCTGACAGCTCGACCTTCGACCCCTCTCCCGCCGCGGTCACGCCGAACTCGGACACCTGCACCGCGGCCTCGGACCTCTCCTCCAGCCGCGCGCTCCGGTGCCCCCCTCCCATGGAGCTGATGGCCTGGACCAGCTTGTTCCTTTTGCGTTCGTCCTCCTCGTCCGGCTCCTCTTCGTCCGCGCTCAACTCCGGGTTCAGATCCTCATCATCATCATCATCGTCGTCATAACGAACGGGCTCAGAAACGGCCGTAAAATCCTCACTTTCCTCTTGCATCTCGTCCGAAGAGTCCCCGCTAGTTTCAAGACGCTTTTTAACCTTTTTGCTCTTCTTCACCTTCATTTTACCCACTTTTTTCTTCGTGACTTTCGCCATGCTGCAGCAGACGCACCGCTCCGACAACACCGTACCCACGTGTGCCGCAAAACAAGCTGCGCTGCCGAAAACCCGGGACTGTAGTAAAAGCAGGCACTAATGTCGTAAAAATCGTTTTAATAAACAATTTTATTTTTCCTCTCTTTTTTTTTTTACACTTTAATGCAAATACATTACCCCACACACATAAAACATATAATTCCAATTCTATAATTAACTGGTGCTCTTGGGAAGCTGATGAGGATGGAATGAGGAATATTAATAAACCTATTAGACTGCATAAATAAATTAATTAATTACAAAAAACATATACAGTATATAACAAATAATTAATCAAAATAAATAAATAAATAATAATAAATTGGCTAAATAAGGACCAAACCCACTTCTCATGAGGCCAAATCTTTCTTTCTTTTTTTTTTTTTTTTTAAATGTACCACAGTTTTTAATGCACCTCAAAAAACTAGGCATACATGCACAACTGCACATTGCAAAAAAAAAAAGAAAAAGAAAAAAAACTAATACAATGTGTCTAATGTGATGTGATGTGTAATGAAATGAAAATAAATAAATAAATTAATTAATTAAAACAATTATAAATACATACATAAATAAAAAAAATAATAAATAAATAAATTAAATAAATAAATAAATGAAAATACAGCAAATAATTTATTCTTAATTCATAATTAAGAGTTATTATCATTTACCATTTACTCTTTGTTATTATATTATATTGTGATGTGTGATGTGCAGTGTTGGGGAGTAACAGATTACATGTACCGGAGTTATATAATCAGAGTACAAATTATGAGTAACTGTATTCAGTTACAGTTACTGTTTCAGTGAGTGTTAATTGGATTACAGTTACTTTGTTGAAATAAATGGATTACACGGCGGGATTTTCCTGTTTTCACATTTTGGGCTATATCCTTTTTTTTTCTTTTTTTTTTTTTTTTTCTCAGTAATTCCACTCATTGCTGGACACTATAACCCAGGACTAAACCAGGTCTAAACCAGGTCTAAACCAGGTCTAAACCAGGTCTAAACCAGGTCTAAACCAGGACTAAACCCAGGTCTAAACCAGGACTAAAACATGATTTAACAGGACTAAATCCTGCTGTGTGGCCGTGTCTCCTCATCTTCTATCAATAATATTTTTAATTTGGTTCAGTAAAGTCTGGACTTTTTATTTTCTTTTAACAGAAAAATCATCTTATGTTACGATTTCCTCGTCTTTGCTTCTCTACAGCAAATCAAGTAATCCAAAGTATTCAGATTACTTTACTCACTTTAAGTAATTTAATGGATTACGTTACAAACTACATTTTGGGGTATGTAATCTGTAATCTGTAGGGGAATACATTTTAAAAGTAACACTCCCAACACTGGTGATGTGACGATTTATTATTATTATTATTATTATTATTATTATTATATTTTTATTTATATTTATTTATTTTTATGCCGTAAAAATGTTATTGTCGTAGTTCCGCTTCTGTCATGTGACCTGTCATTCACAACATCAGTCCAAGATGGCGGCGGCGACTTCAGTTTTTCACAGAGTCAGAACAGGCTCCAAAATAAACGCCCAGTACGATCAGGATGGAAATATTATCCAGGTAAATAAGTATATGTTATTGTTTTATTCTAACGATACGTGATAAAGCTAAAAATCGCCCAAAAATACGCCTTAAATGGCTGTTAGAGAGTGCAACATTCCGTGTAGTCCACAGAACGAGCTAACTGTAGTTTTCTGTCTTTCAAATAATAAGCATCTGTACTAAATTATATATTTTAAATAACGTTGCTTTGTGTAAACATAAAGTGTTTCAAAAAGTCTTTAAGTGCATCAGAATCCGGTAACAAATTATAGTTAAATTTGGTGAATTGAATTGGAAAATAATTAACATAACAAGGTTTAAACTACGGGTATAAACAAAGACTAAACCAGGACTAAACAAGGTCTAAACAAGGACTAAACCACGTCTAAACAAGGACTAAACCAGGTCTAAACAAGATCTAATCCAGGTCTAAACAAGGACTAAACAAGATCTAAACCAGGACTCAATCAGTTATAAATCAGTTCTAAACCAGGTCTAAACCAGGTCTAAACAAGGACTAAACCAGGTCTAAACAAGGATTAAATCAGGACTAAACCAGGATTAAATCAGGACTAAACCAGGACTAAATCAGGTCTAAACAAGGACTAATCCAGGACTAAACCAGGTCTAAACCAGGTCTAAACCAGGACTTAATCCAGGACTAAATCAGGACTAAACCAGGATTAAATCAGGACTAAACCAGGACTAAATCAGGTCTAAACAAGGTCTAAACCAGGTCTAAACCAGGACTAAACCAGGACTAAACCAGGACTAAACCAGGTCTAAACCAGGATTAAATCAGGATTAAATCAGGACTAAAGCAGGACTAAACAAGGACTAAACCAGGACTAAACCAGGTCTAAACCAGGTCTAAATCAGGACTAAATCAGGACTAAACCAGGACTAAATCATGACTAAACCAGGACTAAACCAGGACTAAACCAGGTCTAAACAAGGACTAAACCAAGTCTAAACCAGGACTAAAAGGGAGAAATCAGGACCAGTATTTTGAACATTTATTTTATTCATTTATTTCTTCGTTGCTCGTGTTATTTTGTTGGCATCAATTTAAAGAAAACAGTCACAAATCTGACTTTTAACATAAATACGTATTAGAGCTGCTTCATTATGGAAAAAATCATTATCACGATTATTTTGGTCAATATTGAATTCACGATTGTTCAAACAATTATTTCTTTGTTACACGATGCATTTATTCAACAATTTTCTGTAAAAAAAAAAAACAAACTCCCAAACAAACACTGTTTTTGACAATTTACTAAAAACTTTCAAATTTAAAATAAATTCAGGCTACAAAAATGAGTCTTGGAGCAGTTGTATGGAGCGATGTATAAAACATGAAATGAATAAAATATACTTTGTTTGTCTCTGTTTAACAGAGTTTGGCATTAGAAGTACCTTTCACTTCAGCCTAAACCAGGGGTGTCAAACATACGGCCTGGGGGCCAGATCCGGCCCTCCAAGACCTTTAATCTGGTCCTCGGCTGATTTTCTACTAAAATATTTAAATTATATTTTCTATTAAAATCTTGTTAATTTTCTGTGGTGTTTATCACAGCAGCGTCTCCAGCGTCTCTGTACGTGGCCCCTCCCACCAGAGCAGCACAAATGAAGACTTGTCTCTTTCCCAATGCTCTTAAAGGACGATCGTTTTGACTGTTTTTGTGATCAAATTTTTATTCAAGTGTTATTATTTGCAGTTATACATGTTCCAGTTAGCATTGCAGTTTTTTCCCTTTTAACCCCCCCCCCCCCCCCACCCTTAAACTCCCTATTGACGGGCATCAACATACATATGTACACACACATATACTTATACATATACATATATACATATACATACATATACATATACAATACATATACAATACATATACATATACAATACATATATAATACATATATACAGCATCTAAATAAACACACATACCCATATACACATATTATAGTATATATGTAATATATACATAAACATGTATATACACATACACACACACACACACAAATAAAAAACAAAACAAAAAAACCCCACATATCCAGGTTTATATTCCCTCTATACAAAACACGGCAAATTTCCTCCGTCAAACGACATCAGCAGAAATTGCTTTATACATACTTGTTATGTACCAGACATAGAAAGTTAACTGAAAGTATACATATTGTGTACATTCTAAGAACATATATAATGAAAAATCTCCAGGTAACAACTATACAATAGATTCAGATCTCAGTTTGATCAACAGATTGGACCAGCAAGAAATGTTTTTGGTTTTTGCTCCGTGCATTCGAGCAGCAGAAAGCTCCAGTTGAACGATTTCTCCGAAAGATAGTAGCCATTCTCTCACAGTCAGAGGTTGAACTGATTTCCACCGGCATATTACCATTTTTTTGGCAGCTGTAAGACATACGCGATGATTGTTAATTGTCAGATTTAGTTTGGACGTGTCGTTTAGCAAAAGAAACCTCTGAGTGCAAGGTGTGGTTATTCCTATTAATTTTGACATTGTCTTTGTGACATGATCGTTTTGACTGTTGACCGTGACACCCTCATCAACAAAATGTCCAACATGAGAAAAGTGGAGCCGAGTGCAGGATTTTCCAACATAAATTGACTTATTCCTATTTACATACAAGTTCATGTTAAAACTTTGTGTTGAAATTGTATTTTTCTTAAAGTTTCAGGTTGTTCATAATATTATAATATTTTGTAAAAGAAACAGTTCATCAATTAAAAAAGATTTCTGTAATAGATTTGTGTTTCTCTGCACAAATATTTGAACTTATTGTTATTTTTTGGGTTTATATGACATGAGTTTTCTGATCTGGACACTTTGGGATCAAAGTCGGTTGGATACGACCCCCGGAACGAAATGAGTTTGACACCTCTGATCTAAACCCTTTTGGTTATGATCCAGGGGATTGTTTTGTTTTGTTTTGTAGTGCTGCAAAATGACCGAATAAACAACTACTACTACTAAAAAAACTTGAAATAAGGCATAGAAAAACATACATTTATCCAAAATAAACTATATATCCATCTGTTCTACAATCTCTATGTTTAAAAAAATAAAAATAAATATTATACTTAAACTTATTTACATGAAAAATATCCTAAAATAAACTTGTTAAGCTTTCTTTTCAACTCGATTATAAGAGCTTGCAGATCGTTTCACACACAAATCGAAATTGTGATAAAAAAAAATTCAGTTAACTGCACAGCTTTAATACATATCCAACCCATTATTTGCCTTGTTTTTGCTGCATGAACAAAAGGAAGAGGAAGAAGATAAATCTTATAAACCCTGCTCCTTTCACGGGTTTGTAAATGTGTAAATGTCTCTTCCGACAGGTGGAGACGCGAGAGGACGAGGAGCAGAGCGTCAAACTGGCTGAGATCCTCGAGCTGCTGCTGGCGGCCGGGTATTTCAGAGCCAGAATTAAAGGACTGTCCCCGTTCGATAAGGTATGGAGAAAACAAGGATCGATATTTAATCACTGTTGGGGAGTAACAGATTACATGTACTGGAGTTAAGTAATCAGAGTACAAATTATGAGTAACTGTATTCAGTTACAGTTACTGTTTCAGTGAGCGGTAATTGGATTACAGTTACTTTGTTGGAATAAATGGATTACACAGAGGGATTTTCCTGTTTTCACATTTTGGGCTAAACCAGGACTAAAGCCAGGACTAAAACCAGGTCTAAAACCAGGACTAACTCAGGATTGAACCAGGACTGAACCCAGGTCTAAAGCAGGTCTAAACCAAGACTAAATCTGGACTAAAACCAGGTCTAAACCAGGTCTAAAACCAAGACTAAATCTGGACTAAAACCAGGTCTAAAACCAGGTCTATACCAGGTCTAAAACAGAACTAAAACAGGATTAAACCAGGACTAAACCAGGACTAAACCAGGACTAAACCAGGTCTAAACCAGGTCTAAACCAGGTCTAAACCAGGTCTAAAACAGGACTAAAACAGGATTAAACCAGGACTAAAACGGAACTAAACCAGGTCTAAAACCAGGTCTAAAACCAGGTCTAAAACCAGGTCTAAAACCAGGTCTAAACCAGGTCTAAAACCAGGTCTAAACCAGGTCTAAAACTAGGTCTAAACCAGGTCTAAAACAAGGTCTAAACCAGGACTAAACCAGGTCTAAAGCAGGACTAAATCATGCCGCGTGGACCGTGTCCTCTCGTCTTCTATTAATAATGTTTTTAATACGGTTCAGTAAAGTCTTTGTTTCTCTACAGCAAATCAAGTAATCCAAAGTATTCAGATTACGTTACTCACTTTAAGTAATTTAATGGATTACGTTACAAACTACATTTTGGTGTGTGTAATCTGTAATCTGTAGGGGATTACATTTTAAAAGTCACCTTCCCAAAACTGCCCGCATGGGTTTATAAGACACATAAAACAATAAGCAGACAGATTACACATCCAACATAAAGTGTCCTTTTACGGAGGTCCCAGGTTTTCACCTACACGTTATCAACAAGACACAAACGTCACTATTCTGCGCTGAAGTAGGCGAAAATTGTTAATGAACTCTGTGTTACTGAAGTGAAGCACATCACCACTCACCACTCTTGGCTCCGTCTCCACATCCACACGTTCCTTTCAACGAACTGAACCACAAAACACCACGACCAAAAACCTCGTCCTTCTCCTTCTCAATCTCCTCCTTAAAACAAGTAAGTTGTTCATGTTCTGGCTCCGGTACGAGAGGAACTTTAAAATCTCCAGGTGCTCGATGCTGCGTCCATGTTTGGACAACTTCTGTAAACACAGAGACGCTCGCTGCGGTTGACGTCGTCGTGTCTCCAGTGTCACATGTGGGACACTTTTGGGCTTTTAAAGTTCACACTGGAGTCACATACAAGTCACATTTAAATGGAAATGTGAACAACTTCGCAAAAACATCGGATTTCACAAAAAAAAATCCAAATGAGTGTTAAGCCCTGCAGTCTGAACGTAGCCTAAAACTCTTATTGTCTTTGCAGGTGGTCGGGGGAATGACCTGGTGCATCACGACCTGTAACTTCGACGTTGATGTGGATTTGCTCTTCCAGGAAAATTCAACTATCGGCCAAAAGATGTGAGCGCCCCCTGCCGTCCGGGTCCTGCAAACACGTGTGAAGCAAATTTCAGAGCAGATGATCTTGTTTGTCTCTAAAGTAGTTTTCTGTGTGTGTGACCCCAGAGCCCTCACAGAGAAAATCGTGTCCGTTTTGCCCAAAATGAAGTGTCCGCACCGGCTGGAACCGCATCAGATCCAAGGCCTGGACTTTATCCACATTTACCCCGTCATACAAGTGAGACATCCTATATTCCAGTTATTTATTTATTTATTTTGCACTTAGATTGGTGGTTTTCCAATTCTAGAGTTTCTTCTTCTAGAGTTTTCTTCAGATTCTTTGTGTTTTTAATTTATTAAAATATTATTGTACTTTGCCAGAAACGGTAAATTCAAAAATGTTAAACCTGATCATTTCTATTAGAGACAAGACCCAAGATCTCACTGTATTACAACAAAAATCTGCATTTTAATCATATGAATTTTAGCTGCTCCCAAATCACACGATTTTACAGAGAAAATTGGTTGTTTAGAACTTAAAAAATACAACAAAAAACCCCAAAACAATTACAGTATTTTTTGGACTACAAGGTGAACTTAAAAAGTTTCTCAAAAATCGACAGTGCACCTTATGTATTAATTCTGGTTGTGTTTACTGACCTCGAACAAATTTTATGTGGTACACGGTGCTCAAAAATCTGTAAAAATGTTTTAGTACGACTTAAGTCTCGCGGAGTAAAGGGTGAAATAGTTCTGCATCTGCATTTATACCATCTCTCTCTGTTTACACGTGAACGCTTGCGGGTAAAAACGACAAAATATTTTATCAGAAGTGCCTTTTGTTTAGACAGTGATGGCATTTTTGGGGCTTAAAAACGCAAAAATCTGAAATCACCCTCCAGAGTGGAAAAGTTGAATATGCTCCGCCGTAATGTTTCTGTCGACACTGCAAGACGCAAAACTCTGGTCAGATCTGCTCAGGTTGCGTACCGTATTTTCCGAGCTATTAGGCGCTCTGGATTATAAAACCCACTGTCATTAAATGGTCTATTTTCTAACTTTTTCACAAATAAACTGCACCAGACTTTAAACGAAACAGCAACAGCAACAACAGTTGGATGGGTCAGTGTAGGGATGGGCGATATCTCGATATTTTAAATATATCGAGATATTTTTTTAAAACTCAATATGAATTCTGACATATCATATATATCGATATTATGCGTATTTTTAATTCTGATTTCTCCACTTTGCTTGTTTGTCTTCTCTGTCGTCGCCCGCGTGCACCCCCGCCTCCTTGATTTTGTTCGCTCGTGTCTCATTCACTCTTCACTATCGCCGTGAACGCCGAAAGATGAAAGATGCTGCCAGTGAAAAGCTTCTAGCGCCACGAAACTTGTCCACCATTTACAGACAAAACCATCAGCAGCACATCCTCATATTCCACCGAGTCATGTCCTTTAGTCCAAAAGAAGTTGAACCGCATGAGCAGCATGTGGCGTGCGCTGTTTAAGCAAATCAGCCATGTGCTTTTTAGGTTTAGTTTCTGTAAAATGTAAACACACGTGCGCAAAACTGCAAACACATTATAATGTCAAAATGGCTGATGTGGCTCTAGAGTCGTTATGCTTTATATGTTGTAAAGTTTAGTAATGTAAAGTTTATTTATGCAGAAGATTTTAATGAATAATCTGTTGCAGTGTAACTTGTACAACAGTGTTTGGAAACGTTGGGTTTGATCTGCAGTGGATTGTGGGATTAAACCTCAGAGCTCCTTACTGCTCGATAAGAACATGGATCTGTTAAAATAAGGAACATCCTGAGCTTCTTCTGCTGAAGGAGCTCACGGTTCTGGTTATGGTCTGGTTTACAGAGTTAATGCAAAGATGAGCTTGTGTTGAGTTGTTTTATTTATGAATGAAAAGAAGGAAATATGTTTTATTTCTTTTATTTTACAGTTAAATTATTATTTATGTAATTAGGGTTTTTTGTAATCTTAAATGTTCCTATATGAACTGCCGACCTCTTACACTTTAATTTAAAAAAAAAAAAAAAAAGGACCTTGTGGAATTTGGCATATTTGTTTTTGCAGTTTTCAGTTTTAGGGGGTTATTTTTTCCTGTACATATATCGAGATATAGCAAAATATAAAAAGATATATTTTTTGATCCATATTGCCCAGCCCTAGGTCAGTGTATAGGGCGCTCTGGATTGCGGGGCGCGCAGTCGTTTTTGATGGGGTTGGCGACTTAAGAGTGCTTCTAATAGCCCGGAAAATACGGTACGTGTTTACGTCACATACAACACCACCTAGTGTCACCACTGAGCTGCATGGTGTTCATACCCAGTCGAATTTCATGTCTAATTGTTGTTGTTTTTTTAAGGTCTAAACAGCCAATTTTCTCTGTAAAACTGTGTGATTTAGAGGACGAAATCTGACTATTTTTGTGGTATTGATTATAAGATGGTTTTAGTGCTTTAATACTGAACGTGACAAGCCTATTTGTATTCAGTATTCTGTAACTAAAAGCATTTTCAAAGTGTTTTTCTCATCTTCTCATAAAAAAATGAAATCACTGAGCATCCATTTTGTGTCGTTGCTTCTGTAGTGGCTGGTGAAACGTGCCATAGAGACTCGAGAGGAGATGGGCGACTACGTGAGGGCCTATTCCATTTCACAGTTCAACAAAACACACAAACTCCCAGAGGTAAGGATGGACTTCAACCACAACCAAGACTGTTGAAAATGTATATACTGTATTTTTCAGACTATAAATGTCATTTTTTTCATGTTTTGTGTGTTTCCTGTGACTTATTCTCCGGTGCGACTTATATATTAAAATGTTTGAGTGAAGTGTGGAGAGGTTCTAGTCTTGTGTGTGAGTATCTGCTGCTCCTGTTCCTCCTGTACCACTGTCACTTGGCTCTACTGCGCATGTCTCCTGCAGAAAGAGCCTCTGTCCTGTCTGTATCATGTCAGTCGATCGCACCGTTACTTCTGCACCACTGAACGATTTAACATTTAAACAAACTTATAAAGACGACTGAGAAGACTGAACACAAATGCCCCCAAAAACGAAATCAGATTTTGCAGATTACAAACTGCGAGTCGTGAAATCTGCAGCTGAAAACGGAAATCGAGCAGCAGAACGAAAGTTTGGAGTGACAGAGAAACTTGTCACTACGATGAAACTTTCCTGAAGTCACTGGACGGATGGACAAAGCCTGGACTTCAGTGACACCGAAATCATCCTGTCGGGATTCAGAAAGACCCCAATAATTCTAACAGGAACTGATGCTGAGTCTGACGACAGCGACACAGAAGAGTTTGCGTCGCTCTGTTTACCTCCGGAGGTCGAGGCCGAGTTGCTCAGAAGTGACACCGAGGATGAAGAATTGAATGGATTTAGTGATTTGGAGTGAGATGGAGAGTTTGTTAAACTTGTTCTGTTCTGTTGTTTATGTTATAGTTTATCTGAAGAACTGTTCATATGTGACGTTAATGTCTGTTGTTCTCTCTTCTATTGTTTTTACTACAACTTGACTTTACACAGGAAATGTCAGTTCCTGGTCTCTGATTTTATAAAATAAATTTCCCCAAAAAAGTGCAGCTTATAGTCTGGTGCGATTTACCGTTTTTTCCGGGCTATTAGACGCTCTCTTAAGCCTCCAACTGCATCAAAAAACGACTGCGCGCCCCATAATCCAGAGCCCTATACACAAATCCACTCGGGTGTCTCAGCACGACTTGAGTAAACTACAAACATGCACCACCCGCAGAACATGCAAACACACACGGAGCAGACAGCGACCGCACGGCGAAACCCACCCACAGACACACTCATCACTCCATGCCGACGAGGAACGGAACGGAGGAACGAACCGAAAAAGCGACGAGCGCGACGTGCCGCTTCTAGACACGACTGAACAACTGAGTCACTGCGAACACGCCGACAATCCGTTGGTCCCAGACACACCCTCCCTACACGCCACAACTGAACAAAGCCCAGAGTCACCGTGAACGAACAAACAAACAAAACCAAAGTCACGTTTTTTAAAAAAGTCCTTGACCATTGTGACTTTATAATCCAGAGCAGTATATATTTTTTTCTTCTTCATTACAGTCTGGTGCGACTTACAGTCCGAAAAATACAGTATATAGAGAAACTTTTAAAAAAACGCCCCGCTCGTCTTAGCGAGTCGTGTGGTCCTCTGTGTCTTTTATTTATTTTATTATTTAACTTATTTTTTGCTAGTTTATGATTTTATGTTTTTTGCTTTTATTTGTTTTGTGTTTTTTTTTTTTATTTTAGAGTTGGTATGATCAAATGTGGGCAACTTACCTTTTTGTTGTCTTTGTTTTATGATTTCTGTGCAGCACTTCGGAACCTGCTTTGTTTGTTAAATGTGCTGTATAAAAAAAAAAAAAAAAAAGGATTTGGATTTGAAGTGGATTTGAATGACGTATAAGTGCTTTTCTAATTGCTCCCCTTGTCTGTAGGATGTAGAGTTCGAGAAAAGAAAAGGCAAAGCTGTGAAGACGGTTCTGGAAGTTTTGGTGAGTTTTTATTACGGTGTTATCCACCGCAAGATTAAAATCTCATAGGACGATATTAATTATGAGTTTTGTCGTGTTATTGCTTTGTCGACGCTTCACCCACTGCGATTTTTTTAAAGGTGCGTCGTGTAACTTTTCGGTTTTGGGTCCGTTACGGAGGCCGAGAGGGGTCGCAACAATCGCAAACGCCGCAACAAATACAAATGCGACAACACAAACGCAAATGCCGCAACATGTTAAAAAGCCACAACACATCAAAATGCCACAACACGTTAAAAGCCACAACACGTCAAAAAGCCACAACACATCAAAAAGCCACAACACGTTAAAAAGCCACAACACATTAAAAAGCCACAACACGTCAAAAAGCCACAACACATTAAAACGCCACAACAGAAGTGACCACGGGACTCTATTTTAATGCAAACGCCGCAACAAATACAAACGCCACAACACAAATGCAAATGCCACAACACATCCAAATGCCACAACACATCAAAAAGCCACAACACATCAAAAAGCCGCAACGGAAGTGATCGCGGGACTCTATTTTCCGACGGACCGATCAAGCGGCAAGTGAAGAAGAAGAACTACAACGTGAAAGGAATAATGATAAAACAATAAATGACTTTTATTACTTTTACTTACGTTTCCAACTTCTCCGTTCCTTTACTTTTCACGTTGTAGTTCTTCTTCTTCACTTGGCGCTTGATCGGTCCGTCGGACAATAGAGTCCCGCGGTCACTTCTGTTGTGGCTTTTTAACATGTTGCGACATTTGCGTTTGTGTTGTGGCGTTTGTATTTGTTGCGGCGTTTGCATTAAAATAGAGTCCCGTAGTCATTTCCATTGTGGCTTTTTTTGGTTTGTTGTGGCTTTTTGTTGTGTTGTCGCATTTGTATTTGTTGCGGCGTTTGCGTTTATTTTGACATCTCTCGACTTCCTTAGTCCGTCACCTCCACCTCCACCAGAAAAGTTACACAGTGCACCTTTGAAGCTCAAAAGCGTAATAAAAAGCTTCTTCTAAAACTCTTTAACTCTGCGGTGACGTTGCAGGACGTGTACAAACCTCAGAGAAAGTACAGGAGGCAAAGAGACGCAGCTGATCTGACCGATGAGGAGTCCAGGGTCCACTCCACTCTGCTGGAATACGGCAGGTCAGTACACACAAACATACACACACAAACAAACACACAAACAAAAACCTTTATTTACTCTATATACAGACAGATTAGCGATCACCTGAAAAATATTAGAAAAGACGGTATTTATATGATGAGGGTCTGAGCAGAAGAAGCAAAAGTGGCGTCGTGTCTTCACTTTTTATTCCGCGTTTAGACGAGCGTTTTCGGGAGGAAATCTGTGTGCAGACGGTGACGCAAAAGTGTGTGGAATTCGACTGTGTATGAACCCCAGGCGGCTCGGTGGTGATGTTTGTGACGTAAATGTGTACGCGACCTAAGCAGATCTGACCAGAGTTTTTCGTCTAAACCAGGGGTGTCAAACTCCTTTTGGTCCGGGGGCCGTATCCAACTGACTTTTATCCCAAAGGGGCCGGATCAGAAAACTCATTTCATATAAACCCCAAAAATAACAATAAGTTCAAATATTTGTGCAGAGAAACACAAATCTATTACAGAAATCTTTTTTAATTGATGAACTCTTTCTTTTACTAAATATTATAATATTATGAACAACCTGAAACTTTAAGAAAAATACAATTTCAACACAAAGTTTTAACATGAACTTGTATGTAAATAGGAATAAGTCCATTTTTGTTGTAAAATCCTGCACTCGGCTCCACTTCTCTCACGTTTGACATTTTTCTGATGAGGGTGTCACGGTCAACAGTCAAAACGATCGTCCTTTAAGAGCGTTTGGAAAGAGACAAGTCTTCATTTGTGCTGCTCTGGTGGGAGGGGCCACGTACAGAGACGCTGGAGACGCTGCTGTGATAAACACCACAGAAAATTAACAATATATTAACAGAAAATATAATTTAAATATTTTTGTAGAAAATCAGCCCAGGGCCAGATTAAAGGTCTTGGAGGGCTGGATCCAGCACCCGGGCCGTATGTTTGACACCCCTGGTTTAAACGAAAGGCACTTCTAATAAAATACATTGTTGTTTTTACTTGCAGGCGTTCTCATGTAAACAGGCCCTTAGTTTAAAGTTGATGTGGTGGGAGTAGGCATGGATCTATAATAAAAACCTCCCGCTCTTTCCCGACACCAGGCCGACTAGTGGTCGCTCTAGGTACTGCAGCTCCGAGAGTTTGGGTCCAGAAACAATTCTCCCACAGAGCGCAATGCATTTTTTGGGGATTTCAAACTGCCCATGATCAGAGCATCCACAACTTTCACGAAGATCGGATTTTGTAGGATTATTTTTTTTATTTTCACAACATAAACTTTTTAAAATGTTTAAATCCTCAAAGCACCTAAAAGTTCACTTTGTAAGACTTAGCCCCTCCCCGCTCTGAGACCGCTCTAGCAGCTCTCGCCCTGATTGGTCCAAACTAGGGATGTAACAATAACCAAAATATCGTGATATCATATCATCAGAAGTCTCTCAATAGTGTCGTGGACCATCACAATATACTGAATCACAACTTTCTTTGCTTAAATTCATTGTTGTGGTGCAGCAGTAGCTAAAAAAAAGACAGAGAACTACATAGACCATGATCCTTTGCTCCATTTCAGTGCAGACGACAAGAAGAAATAACAGTTCTAACACTTTTAAGTCTTAGTTCTTTGGATTAAGTCTGGTCAAGGCATTTTAAGAGGAGAAAGTAGCGTATTTACCATTTTGTTAACCTCCACAAAATATCTCAATAAATATCGTACCGTGAGATGTATATCGTGAAAATATTGCGTAAATATTAGGGGTGTAACGATATCCAAGTCTCACGATACGATATTTATTGCGATATCGTGGGAAAGCTCACAATATGGTGGGGTACAATATTTTCACGATATACATCTCACGGTACGATATTCATTGCGGTATTTTGTGGAGGTTAACAAAACTGTGAATATACGACTTTTTCCTCTTAAAATTTCTTGACAAGACTTAATCCAAAGAACTTAAAAGTGTTAGAACTGTTATTTCTTCTTGTCGTCTGCACTGAAATGGAGCAAAGGATCATGGTCTATGTAGTTCTCTGTCTTCTTTTTTTAGCTATTGTTGCACCATAATAATTGATCATTAAGAATTTCGTCGGTTACGTTCATTTTTAATCGACAAACTGAATGTAGGTTGCTGGGTAACCAAACATTCGTTGATGCAAATGTTCAGGTTTTCATTATCTTTCATTGGGCCATTAAACTGAGCGTCTCTCATAGTTCTCTGTGACTCAGAAGGAGTGAGCAAACACAAACAATCAATCAGTCTGCAACACACCGAAGCACAAATGCACATTTAACGATGATTTGTACAAGAAATTCCTCGCTTTCCGTCCCAGTCGAGACAAGTGTGAGTCCATGTGCACAGTGTACAAAGCAGCACATATGTTTTGGTGTCCAGTGGGAAAAAGCAGGGACAGGAGGACACTGAAAACATTAAAAAGTTTTGCCAGGTGAGAGTCGCTCAATGTCGATGACGAGTCCCCGCCCCCTCCCCCCGTACGGTGTCCTGGTTTTGACAAACACAAATTTGGTCACAATAACCTGTATTCACCTGAGTCATGTCTTTTAATCTGACAGAAGTTAAACCGCATCAGCGACACAAGAGCTGTTTTTTTTTTCTTCACTTAGTTTATGCAAATTAGCCATGTGGTTTTAAGTTTTGTTTCTGTGAGATTTGTGCAAAACTGACTTAAACACATTATAATGTCAAACGGGCTGATGTGGCTCTAGAGTCGTTACAGTTTATATGTCGTAAAGTTGAGTTTATTTATGCAGATTAGTAGTGCAGATAGTAATAATAATGACGATCATTTTAATATAAAAACGTTAATGATTAATCGATAATCGATCGTTAATTCTCCCGACGATCGATTAAGAAAATTTTATCGAATCCCCTTCCCTAATTGTGATGATCCACGATATTATTGTTAGAAATTTAACGATACGATATCACGATATTTCGGATGTTGTTACATCCCTAATCGTGAGCTTTCCTACGATATCGCAATAAATATCGTCCCGTGACAATATCGTATCGTGAGACTTGGATATCGTTACATCCCTGTTTAAAATCCCAACCAGGATATCGGCAGAAACAATATTTTGGAGCTGCTATGATCCACCGAATTTTCATCGGACCCTAACGACGCCAGTATCGATATCGGCGCCTTCATTTTTATTTCTGATGCTTTGCAAAAAAATATGATGTGGTTATTTTTATTTTGATAAACTTGACCCCTTCCCCCTTCGTACGTTTTCTTGGTTTTTGCCTCTTGAAGCTCTCTCTCTTCATGCTTTTCTCATTCTCATCCCTCCATCTCTCCCACTCCCCCCCGTAGACAGACAAATCTCCATATCCCGTAAGTAGCTCCTCCCCCTGCGTGTGTCTGTGCCGTGTTCACATTTCGAGCATGACGAGGGCCGCAGACTCGTTTCTCTTTCCTCCTCGAGCTGCCGTTCTTCCGGCTGTCAGTCAAAAGCGTCGTATGAAGAGGTGTCCCAAAGAAAACCACGGAATGTGAGGATTAAACCTGAGGGAGGCTTCAGGAGCAGACAGGTCGATTTTTCAAAATAAAACCAAAAATAAGAAAATGAAAAAAACTGCTATTTTCTTCATTATTTGTCTCCAAAATCAAAATGAAAAAACAGATAACGACCGTAAACTGCGATGCGAGGACTGAACCAGGACTAAAACAAGACTAAACCAGGTCTGAACCAGGACTGAGTTCCTGAATAATCAGGACTGAGACCGGGACCAGACCAGGACTGAGACAGTGATTGAGACCAAGACCGGGACTGAGACTAGGACTGAGACCAGGACTTATACTGAGACAGAGACTGAGACCGGCACCAGACCGAGCTGAGACTGACACAGACAAGGACTGAGACCGGGACTGAGACCACAACTGAGCCTGGGACCAGACGGGACCAGACTGGGACCAGACCGGGATCAAACTGGGCCTGAGACCAGGACGGAGACCGGGACTGAGACCGAGATTCAGACCAGGACTGAGACCGGGACCGAGACCATGACCACACCATGACCAGACCGGAACTGAGACCATGAGCAGACCGGGACTGAGACCAGGACTGAGACTGAGACTGGGACTGAGACTGGGACTGAGACCGGGACTGAGACCATGACCAGACCGGAACTGAGACCGGGACTGGGACCGGGACTGAGACTGGGAACAGACTGGGACTGAGATCGGGACTGAGATCGGGGCCAGGCCGAGACCGGGACTGAGACCGAGATTCAGACCAGGACTGAGACCGAGACCGGGACCTAGATCGTGACCGAGACTGAGACTGGGACCAGATCGGGATCAGACTGAGCCTGAGACCAGGACCGAGACCGGGACTGAGACCGAGATTCAGACCAGGACTGGGACCGTGACCTAGACCGTGACTGAGACCGGGATCTAGATCATGACCGAGACTGAGACTGGGACCAGACCGGGACTGACAAAATGACAAATTGTTATCCGTTTTTTCATTTTGACTTTGGAGACAAATAATGAAGAAGATTGTTTTTGTTTTTGTTTTTCTTATTTTTTGGTTTTATTTTGAATGACACACACATTAGTTTGGATCCTCTCTCCTCCCTGTGTCTCCTCCGTGGCCTCGACTTCCTCCCCCAGTTCCCGCAGAATCGAGTAGAGGAATCAAGGAATCAAGGAAGCGAGGAAACAAGGAAGTGAGGAAAGAGAAATGAGGCGCGGCCCGGGTTTCTTTGATGGTCCATGTTGCTTTTATGTGGCATGGCGTTTCTTTGGTCGTGTGATTCGTTTTTTTTTATTTTTACTTCATTTTAATAATTTCTGTTTAACTCAAATCTTTTTCAGGAGGTACGGATTCAGCAAACAGACAAAACAAGACAAAGTAAGTTCACAAAGTTCTGCCTCAAAACAAACGACTTCTAGCAATACTTCTACTTCTGCAGTTGTAGGGAGTATTATCAGTTACATAATGGCGTGTTGTACAGTTGTAGGGAGTATTATCAGTTACATAATGGCGTGTTGTACAGTTGTAGGGAGTATTATCTCTTACATAATTGTGAGTTGTTATACAGTTGTAGGGAGTATTATCTGTTACATAAGGATGACTTGTACAGTTGTAGGGAGTATTATCTGTAACATAAGGATGACTTGTACAGTTGTAGGGAGTATTATCTGTTACATAAGCGTGAGTTGTACAGTTGTAGGGAGTATTATCTGTAACATAAGGATGACTTGTACAGTTGTAGGGAGTATTATCTGTTACATAAGCGTGAGTTGTACAGTTGTAGGGAGTATTATCTGTTACATAAGCGTGAGTTGTACAGTTTTAGGGAGTATTATCTGTTACATAAGGATGAGTTGTACAGTTGTAGGGAGTATTATCTGTTACATATGGATGACTTGTACAGTTGTAGGGAGTATTATCTGTTACGTAAGGGTGAGTTGTACAGTTGTAGGGAGTATTATCTGTTACATAAAGGTGAGTGTACAGTTGTAGGGAGTATTATCTTTTACATATGGATGACTTGTACAGGTGTAGGGAGTATTATCTGTTACATAAAGGTGAGTGTACAGTTGTAGGGAGTATTATCTGTTACATAAAGGTGAGTGTACAGTTGTAGGGAGTATTATCTTTTACATAATCATGAGTTGTACAGTTGTAGGGAGTGTTATCTGTTACAAAAGGATAAGTTGTACAGTTGTAGGGAGTATTATCTGTTACATAAGGATGAGTTGTACAGTTGTAGGGAGTATTATCTTTTACATAATCATGAGTTGTACAGTTGTAGGGAGCATTATCTGTTCCGTAAGCCTGACTTTGTGACAGTGACAGTGTTGTACAGTAAATGTGTGTTTGTATTTGATGTTTTGACCAGGTGGACGGTCAGAAGTCGGTGGCAGGTGTCCCGTCAGGAGCAGACGGGTCGGAGGAGCTGGACCTGCAGGAGGTGGAGGAGGTCAGGTCCACGCTCAGGACACGGCACTAGAGCTCGAGACCAAACAAAAACAAAACATATATATATTATGATCGTCAAAGGTCCCACAGTAATGTCTTGGATCATCACAGAAATATCGGAAGTACAAGTTTACAGGTCGTGTAGAGGCAGTGGTCCTCAAACTTTTCAGCTCCACGGACCGGTTTATGTCCGAGGACCGGGGGCTGGACAGCATGGTTTATTCCTGGTTTAGTCCTGGTTTAGACCTGGTTTAGATCTGGTTTAGTCCTGGTTAAATTGTTGTTTAGTCCTGGTTTAGTCCTGGTTTTAGTCCTGATTTTAGTCCTGATTTTAGTTCTGGTTTAGTCCTGTTTGAAATTTGGTTTAGTCCTGGTTTTGTCCTGTTTGAATCCTGGTTTAGTCCTGTTTTTGTCCTGGTTTTACACCTGGTTTAGTCCTGGTTCAGTCCTGGTTTGGATCTGATTTAGACCTGGTTTAGTCTTGGGTTTAGTCCTGGTTTGGATCTGATTTAGACCTGGTTTAGTCTTGGGTTTAGTCCTGGTTTGGATCTGGTTTAGACCTGGTTTAGACCTTGTTTAGTCTTGGTGTTAGTCCTGGTTTTAGTCCTAGTTTAGTCCTGGTTTAGATCTGGTTTAGACCTGGTTAAATCCTTGTTTAGTTCTGGTTTTAGACCTGGTTTAATCCTGGTCAAATCCTGGTTTATTCCTGTTTTAGACCTGGTTTAGACCTGGTTTAGACTTGGTTTTAATCCTGCTTTTAGTCCTGGTTTAATCCTGGTCAAAATCCTGTTTTAGTCCTGTTTTTACACTAGTTTAGACCTGGTTTAGACCTGGTTTAGTCTTGGGTTTAGTCCTGGTTTTATTCCTGGGTTTAGTCCTGGGTTTAGTCCTGGTGTTAGTCCTGGTTTAGACCTGGTTTAGACCTGGTTTAGACCTGGTTTAGACTTGGTTTTAATCCTGCTTTTAGTCCTGGTTTAATCCTGGTTAAAATCCTGTTTTAGTCCTGTTTTTACACTAGTTTAGACCTGGTTTAGACCTGGTTTAGACCTGGTTTAGACTTGGTTTTAATCCTGCTTTTAGTCCTGGTTTAATCTTGGTTAAAATCCTGTTTTAGTCCTGTTTTTACACTAGTTTAGACCTGGTTTAGACCTGGTTTAGTCTTGGGTTTAGTCCTGGTTTTATTCCTGGGTTTAGTCCTGGGTTTAGTCCTGGTGTTAGTCCTGGTGTTAGTCCTGGTTTAGACCTGGTTTAGACCTGGTTTTGGTTTTAGTCCTGGTTTCATGAATCAAACATTTAGAATACGTTTTGGTCAACAGTAAACGGTAAAAAACTGGAATAGTGTGGTGTTTTTAATCTTTTGACCTCTAGTGTATACTGTATTCTTTTGGTTCTGTTGTTATAATGCGGTGATGTGTTTTTGTTTAGATGCGGATCAAAACCCTTAATGACCAACATGTCTGCCATGGCGATCGAGGAGGTGTGTATCGATACTCTACAAACTGTAACCTCACTCTGCCTTATACTCGTGTTGGCTCCTTTTGTGTTTCACCGATGTTTGTCTGTGAAATGATGTTTCTTCTACATGTGAATCTGTAAATCTGTGAGTCTGTGAATACTCATTTCTCTGTGGCGATAATGATGTAACTAACTGATCTCTGCACTGATACAATACTGGTATCGGATCTCTGCACCGATACTGGATATTTTTAAGGATCAGATATTGGCTCAGTCGATATTTTCTATTTGGATCTATAAATTTGTGTAATAAGACGACAACAGTGTTGGGAAGGTTTACTTTTAAAATGTAATCCCCTACAGATTACAGATTACATACCCCAAAATGTAGTTTGTAACGTAATCCATTAAATTACTTAAAGTGAGTAACGTAATCTGAATACTTTGGATTACTTGATTTGCTGTAGAGAAACAAAGACTAGAAAATCTTCACATAAGAAGTTTTGTCTGATAAAAGAAAATAAAAAAGCCCAGACTTTACTGAACCAAATTAAAAATATTACTGATAGAAAACGAAGAGACACGTCCACACAGCAGGATTTAGTCCTGTTAAATCCTGTTTTAGTCCTGGTTTACTCCTGTTTTAGTCCAGGTTTAGTCCTGGTTTAGATCTGGTTTAGACCTGGTTTAGACCTGGTTTTAGACCTGGTTTAGATCTAGTTTAGATCTGGTTTAGATCTAGTTTAGACCTGGTTTTAATCCTGGTTTAGTCCTGGTTTAATCCTGGTTTAGACCTGTTTTAGTCCTGTTTTAGTCCTGGTTTAGATCTAGTTTAGACCTGGTTTTAGTCCTGGTTTAGACCTGGTTTTAGACCTGGTTTAGATCTAGTTTAGATCTGGTTTAGATCTAGTTTAGACCTGGTTTTAATCCTGGTTTAGATCTAGTTTAGATCTAGTTTAGACCTGGTTTTAATCCTGGTTTAGTCTTGGTTTAGATCTAGTTTAGACCTGGTTTTTGTCCTGGTTTTAGTCCTGGTTTAGTCCTGGTTTAGATCTGGTTTTAGATCTGGTTTTAGACCTGGTTTAGATCTAGTTTAGATCTGGTTTAGATCTAGTTTAGTCCTGGTTTTAATCCTGGTTTAGTCTTGGTTTAGACCTGGTTTAGTCCTGTTTTAGTCCTGGTTTAGATCTAGTTTAGACCTGGTTTTAATCCTGGTTTAGTCTTGGTTTAGATCTAGTTTAGACCTGGTTTTAGTCCTGGTTTTAGTCCTGGTTTAGTCCTGGTTTAGACCTGGTTTTAGACCTGGTTTTAATCCTGGTTTAGTCTTGGTTTAGACCTGGTTTTAGACCTGGTTTAGATCTGGTTTAGATCTAGTTTAGACCTGGTTTTAGTCCTGGTTTAGTCCTGGTTTAGACCTGGTTTTAGACCTGGTTTAGATCTAGTTTAGATCTGGTTTAGATCTAGTTTAGACCTGGTTTAATCCTGGTTTATTTTTAGTCTGTTTAGACTGGTTTAATCCTGGTTTAGTCTTGGTTTAGATCTGTTAGACTGGTTTTTGTCCTGTTTAGTCCTGGTTTAGTCCTGGTTTAGATCTGGTTTTAGACCTGGTTTATCTAGTTTAGATCTGGTTTAGATCTAGTTTAGACCTGGTTTTAAATCTAGTTTAGACTGGTTTAATCCTGGTTTAGTCCTGGTTTAATTTAGACTGGTTTTAATCCTGGTTTACCTGGTTTTGTCCTGGTTTAGTCCTTTAGATCTGTTTAGACCTGGTTTAGATCTAGTTTAGATCTGGTTTAGATCTAGCCTGTTTATGCCTGGTTTAGTCCTGTTTTAGTTATCCTGGTTTAGTAGTCCTGGTTTAGTCCTGGTTTAGACCTGGTTTTAACCTGGTTTAGTAAGACCTGTTTTAGTCCTGGTTTAGTACCTGGTTTAGATCTAGTTTAGACCTGGTTTGTTCCTTGTTTTAGACCTGGTTTAGCCTGGTTTAGATCTAGTTAGACCTGGTTTTAATCCTGGTTTAGTCCTGGTTTAGTCTGTTTAGACCTGGTTTTAGACCTGGTTTTAATCCTGGTTTAGTCTTGGTTTAGACCTGTTTTAGTCCTGGTTTAGACCTTGTTTTAGACCTGGTTTAGATCTAGTTTAGACCTGGTTTAATCCTGTTTTAGCCTTGTTTTAGACCTGTTTTAGTCCTGGTTTAGATCTAGTTTAGACCTGGTTTTAATCCTGGTTTAGTCTGGTTTAGTCTGTTTAGACCTTTAGACCTGTTTAAACTGGGTTTAGATCTAGTATGTTTTCCTGTTTAGTATTGTTTAGTCCTGGTTTACCTAGTTTAGACCTGGTTTTAATCCTGGTTTAGTCTTGTTTAATCTAGATCTAGTTTAGACCTGGTTTAGTTTCCAGCAGTGAGTGGAATTATCGGGGGGGGGTTTAGCCCAAAATGTGAAAACAGGAAAATACCGCCGTGTAATCTATTTATTTCAACAAAGTAACTGCAATCCAATTACCACTCACTGAAACTGTAACTGTAACCGATTACAGTTACTCATAATTTGTACTCTGATTACTTAACTCCGGTACATGTAATCTGTTACTCCCCAACACTGGACGACAATAATACTGGACAGTGTTGACCCAAACACATAGTAATCTTATTCTGTAGTAGTTACTTAAAATGAGACATAACAGTTACAAAACACACACATGATAGTTTTATTTATTTACTCTCTGCTCCACTGTCGGTTGATATCGATCATTAGCGGATACTTAAAGCCAAACTATCGGCATCAGTGTTGGAACAGAAAAAGCTGGATGATGTCTCTGTGCAAAAAAAAAGGTAAAGTTTCTGACATGTGGGTTTGTTGTTGTGTTTTTCAGGGGAGGCTGACGGCCAGTGCAGTGGGGCAGATAGTGGGACTCCAGTCTGAGGAGATCAAGCAGATCGCCTCCGAGTACAAGGAGAAGGTACCAGAAACTTAAAGTGGTGTTAATAATAATAATAATAATATATTTTATTTATATTGCACTTTACATAAAATATTTCTCAAAGTGCTACAGGTAAAAACAGTGAATAAAAGTGCGTCAAGTTAAAACTATTACAGTGCACAATAGGCAAGGCAAGTTTATTTGTACAGCACAATTCGTACACAAAGTAATTCAAAGTGCTTTACAGAATAAGAAATACATTAAAATCATAATAAAAACAAATCAAAACGTAAATGATCATGAAGATTAAAATTAAAAAAGAGAGACATAAATTGGAGAGAAGAGTGCGGAATGAAAACCTTTCAGTTATATGCACAGTTAAACAGAAATGTTTTGAGCCTGGATTTATACAATATAGGCGAGTTTCATTGTTGACAAAAGCGCGCGTCGCATGCTGAGAATTATTTTGTTCGGCGGCAAGAAACACTAATTCAACATGACGGACGGAGCGAGAAAGCACGTAAAGGGTATTGATCCCGGTTATTTATCCACTCTAACGGCAGAGGACCCAAGACCATTTGACCAGAAATTGGTCATAAGCATCGACGGACGACAAATCACCCTTTTCAACCCCGACAAAAGGTGGACCAAACCAAATTTCTGGTCGGAATCGCCAACTCCCTGGACAAATATTCACTTTGGTGATATCCACAATGACTTGGTGGAAACTCCTGGGCCATTCACAGCAGAAAAGATGAAAACCTCCAAGAGTCTCGATTAGGGACGGGCATTCGATTAAATTTTCTTAATCGATCGTTGGAAGAATTAACGATCTATTAATCATTAACGTTTTTATATTAAAATGATCATCATTATTATTACTATCTGCACTAATCTGCATAAATAAATTCAACTTTACGACATATAAACCGCAACGACTCTAGAGCCACATCAGCTGTTTGACATTATAATGTGTTTAATTCAGTTTTGTGCAAATCTCACAGAAACAAAACTTAAAACCGCATCGATAATTTGTATAAACTAAGCGAAGATAAAACTCCAGCTCTTGTGTCGCTGATGTGGTTCAATTTCTGTCGGATTAAAAGACATGACTCAGGTGAATACAGGTTAGTGTGACCAGATTTGTGTTTGTCAAAACCAGGACAGCGTACGGGGGGAGGGGGGCGGGGCCTCGTCATCCACATTGAGCGACTCTCACCTGGAAAAACTTTTTCCCACTGGACACAGAAACATATGTGCTGCTTTATACACTGTGCACATGGACTCACACTTGTCCCAACGCAACGGAAAGTGTGGATTTTCTTGTACAAATCATCGTTAAATCCACATTTGTGCTTCGGTTCGTTACAGACTGACCCACTGTTTGTGTCTCGCTCCTTCTGATGCAGAGACACATGTACACACCTGTTTGGTCACACTACACACAGCAACCTACATTTGGTTTGTCGATTAAAATGAATGTAATCGATGAAATTCTTAATGATCAATTATCGATTAATCGATTAATCATGCCCATCCCTAGTCTCAATGTGTTGTTGAACTTGTTGGAGTCCACGGTTTGCTCGGATCTTCTACGTTTGCTCTGCGGATGTTTGAAAGTCGTTTAATTCTCCGTTAGTGGTTCTTTTCACTCGGAATATGAAAAAGACATTTTCCTTCTTCTGTGCTTCTATTTGTGTATCCAATAATGCAGCAGGAATTTACCATTATCGGGGACAAATACGCGAGGTTCCGCACTGTGTTTGACCGTGTTTCTTGCCTCCGACCAAAATATTTCCCAGCATGCATCGCGGGCTTTTAATAACAATGATGTCAGCTGAAACTTACCTATTGGTGTGTGTTGTGTTGTCTTGTCTGATTTGTTGCGTTGTTGTCCACAGCAGAGTGAGCTGTCGTCAGAGGAGCTCTCGGAGAGGTACGGGCCCCTGCAGCAGCAGCGCAGAGCGGTGACCTCTCTGCACAAACAGATCCAACAGAGGAGCAAGGCCCTGGAGGAGGTCAGGACACACGTGCACTATACAAAAACTCCAACTGCTCTGTGGAGGTATTAATGTATTTCTGTTTACAGCTGCAAGCCAAACATGAAGAGGTGAAAGCCAGCTGTGAGGAGGCCAAGAGAAGACTTACTGAGGTAAAGACGACCACAAACACGCTCATATTCAATTAAAACAATCTCAGGCTCATGGGCTGGAGACTGGACCAATCACAGGACAGCGTTATAGTTTGATTGATCTGCACAAATCCAGACTATTTTGGTTTTGAAAAATGTGCAGAGGGAAGCTGTGCATCTGTGGAGGGAGAAACAATCTGTGTGTCATTCGTTCATTCGTTTCATTCGCCATTTCCCGTTTACCTGACTTCTGTGACTGTGATGCCGAACTTTTGCACTGAATATGGACTGAACCAGGACTGAACCAGGACTGAACCAGGTCCGGGACCAGACTGGGACCAGACCGGGGCCAGACCGGGACCAGACCAGGACCAGACTGGACTCTGAGCTTTGATTCCGAGCCTACATGGGGTCCAAGCCTCAGCTTCGAGCTCCGGCCCTGTCGTGGGCTCTGAGCCTCCGGTCTGGTCCCAGCCTGGTCCCAGCCTGGTCCCAGCCTGGTCCCAGCCTGGTCTTGGTCACAGTCCCGATCTGGTCCCAGTCTGGTCTCGGTCTCAGTCCCGCTCTGGTCCAGGTCTGGTGTCAGTCTCGGTCTGGTCCTGGTCTGGTCCCACACTGGTTCAGCTCTGATCCCAGACCTGGATCAGTCCTGGTTCAATCCGTATGCGTTGCAAAAGTCCAGCATCGCAGTCATGGAAGTCACGTAAACGGCCGTTATCCGTTTTTTTCCATTCTTCATTAAAACACAAAATTGAAAAATGAAAAAAAAGATCATTATCTGATTTTTCATTTTGGTTTTGGAGACAATAATGAAGAAAACAGCTGTTTTTTTCATTTTCTTATTTTTAGTTTTATATTGAAAAACGAATGAACGAATGACACACGGATTGAGAGACGTCTGTGTTTTTCTCTCAGCTGGATTTAATTTAAGTTCAGTTTCTTGGCTTGTTTTGCTGTTGTTGTGACGCTTCGACAATCAGATTGGAGTATTTTTTGAACATCCTCATTGCTTTCAGCGAGAGCCGCTCCAAACTGATTTTGCTGCACATGTCAACATTGTGATTCTGATTGATGATTAGTCGATTAATCGATAATTGATCATTAAGAATTTCATTGATTACGTACATTTTAATCGACAAACCGAATGTATGTTGCTGTGTGTATCGTGACCAAACAGGTGTGTACATGTGTCTCTGCATCAGAAGGAGCGAGACACAAACAGTGGGTCAGTCTGTAACGAACCGAAGCACAAATGTGTATTTAACGATGATTTGTACAAGAAATTCCACACTTTCCGTTGCGTTGGGACAAGTGTGAGTCCATGTGCACAGTGTATAAAGCAGCACATATGTTTCTGTGTCCAGTGGAAAAAAGTTTTTCCAGGTGAGAGTCGCTCAATGTCGATGACGAGGCCCCGCCCCCCTCCCCCCGTACGCTGTCCTGGTTTTGACAAACACAAATCTCGTCACACTAACCTGTATTCAGTCATGTCTTTTAATCCGACAGAAATTGAACCACATCAGCGACACAAGAGCTGGAGTTTTATCTTCACTTAGTTTATGCAAATTAGTGATGTGGTTTTAAGTTTTGTTTTTGTGAGATTTGAACAAAACTGAATTAAACACATTATAATGTCAAACAGCTGATGTGGCTCTAGAGTCGTTATGTTTATATGTCGTAAAGTTGAATTTATTTATGCAGATTAGTAGTGCAGATAGTAATAATAATGATGATCATTTTAATATAAAAACGTTCATGATTAATCCATAATCGATCGTTAATTCTTCCGATGATTGATTAAGAAAACTTCATCGAATGCCCGTCCCTAGTTCTGATTGAGTTAATCATCAAACTCTCGGTGGATATGAGGCCGATGAAGGGAACATGTGATGCTACTTTTACAGGTGTCCTAAGTCAGCCTTAAAACTACATCAGTTTGTTGTTGGTTCCATTTTGGGACGGAGCGTGGACTGTTTTTTTTTTTGTATTGAGACGTATTGGGTTTTAAGGTCAAATACTTCTATGTGACACAGATATGTGATACAGGCCTGGAAAAGTCATGGAATTGTGTAAATTCAGTGAAAGTTTTGGAAAGTCGAAGTCAAATTTTAGTATCTCTTTCATGCAACTCGAGCATTCTGTTAAGTTCTCATTAGTCTGTTGTGATTATATCCAAACGTCTGCGCCTTTTGTTTAAAAGAGACGACAATAAATGCACTGACAGGATTTTAAATGTTAAAAAAACTATAATCCCAAACCATAAGGTGAGAGGAAAGGGTTAACATTTCATATTTAGCCCTAAAAGTCTGATCAATTCTACACATGAAGGCGCCGTAAAGTCACGATAAATTCACTTTAGGTCATGAAAAAGTCATGGTCATAGTGGGAACCCTGATACAGTTATGTTGGGTCACTCTCACAGTCCCAGAGCCGCCCCACGTCACACAGACCTAACCCCGTGTGCTGTGCAGGTGTCAGAGGAGTCTTCACGTCTGGAGAAGGAGCTGCAGACGCTGGAGGAGACGGAGACGAGCGCTGACCCCACGTGAGGACTGCTCCTCAGCACAGGGATGCACCGATACGATACTAGAGTCTGATATCGGGGGCATTATAGAAAAAAAAATTGTTGGATTCATATTGACTTCAAAGATATCGGTTCAAATTACATTGTGGTTCTTAAACTGATGTAATAAGATGATTTACTGGACAATATTAGCCCAAAACATCTCAGAATATTAAATGTGTATTTTTACTAGGGCTGGGTATCATTAAGAAGTTGCCGATACGATACATATCTCGATACACAGGCCACGATACAATACATATCTCGATTAGGGGTGTGCAAAAATATTGAAATATCGATATATCGTATCGCTTAATGTGATAATACAGTATCAATATCGTGAGCTGCTGTATCGATATATCACCAAGAGTATTTTTTGGTATATTTCACTAAATTATTTTGTTACAGAGCTACAGTTTTGGTGCTTGTTCAGAGGAAGGAGACTTTTTTATGCGACACATTTGACATTTTCACTGTTTTCAGGATTAAAATGTTTGTGTTTCATATCAACTTTGCACAAAAAGTGGTTTAACAAAGACTTTTAGTATCACAGACATGATTTAGCCTTTATTTTTATTGAACTGAATCGAATCGATCGAAATCACTGTATCGAGGTATGTATCGTATCGTAAAATGTATACAAAAAAATACTCTCAGCGATATATCGATACAGCACCCCGCGATATCGAATTACTGTATCATCACTTTAAACGATACGATATATCGATATTTCAGTATTTTTGCACACCCCTAATTTTTAAAAAGCAGTTCTGCAATTACATAATCAGTGTTGGGGAGTAACAGATTACATGTACCGGAGTTACGTAATCAGAGTACAAATTATGAGTAACTGTATTCAGTTACTGTTTGAACGAGCGGTAATTAGATTACAGTTACTTTGTTGAAATAAATGGAAAATTACACAACGGTATTTTCCTGTTTTCACATTTTGGGCTATATCCCTTTTTTTTTTTTTCCCTCAGTAATTCCACTCATTGCCGGACACTAAATCACACTAAATCTTAAACCAGGACTAAACCAGGATTAAACCAGTTCTAAACTAGATCTAAACCAGGTCTAAACCAGGACTAAGCCAGATCTAAACCAGGACTAAACAAGGACTAAACCGGGACTAAAACAGGACTAAACTAGGTCTAAACTAGGTCTAAACCAGGTCTAAACCAGGACTAAACCAGGACTAAACCAGGACTAAACCAGGACTAAACCAGGTCTAAACCAGGTCTAAACCAGGACTAAACCAGGTCTAAACCAGGACTAAACCAGGACTAAACCAGGTCTAAACCAGGACTAAACCAGGTCTAAACCAGGTCTAAACCAGGTCTAAACCAGGACTAAACAAGGACTAAACCGGGACTAAAACAGGACTAAACCAAGTCTAAACCAGGTCTAAACCAGGACTAAACATGGACTAAAATGAGGTCTAAACCAGGTCTAAACCAGGACTAAACCAGGTCTAAACCAGGACTAAACCAGGACTAAACCAGGTCTAAACCAGGTCTAAATCAGGACTAAACAAGGACTAAACCGGGACTAAAACAGGACTAAACCAAGTCTAAACCAGGACTAAACATGGACTAAAATGAGTCTAAACCAGGTCTAAACCAGGTCTAAACCAGGACTAAACCAGGTCTAAACCAGGTCTAAAACAGGATTTAACAGGACTAAACCATGTCTTCATGTCATCTTCTATCAATAATATTTTTAATTTGGTTCAGTAAAGTCTGGGCTTTTTATTTTCTTTTATCAGACAAAACATCTTATGTTACGATTTCCTCGTCTTTGTTTCTCTACAGCAAATCAAGTAATCCAAAGTATTCAGATTACATTACTCACTTGAAGTAATTTAATGGATTACGTTACAAACTACATTTTGATGTGTGTAATCTGTAATCTGTAGGGAAATACATTTTAAAAGTCACCTTCCCAACACTGTACATAACACACTTGCTTGTGTTTAAAGGAAATTAATATATAATATAATATAGTATAGTATAGTATCATATCATATCATATATATTCTCAATGTCTGCCCTGGTATCAAGTGATATTGACATCGGTGCATCTTCACCTCAGTACAGACTATCATCAATCATCACAGAGGTTCTGATCAGATCTGCTCTTGTGCTTATGTTCCAGAGTCCTGGACAAACTGCGATCACTGGTCACCATGAACGACAGCCTCAAACAGCAGGAGCACGAGTTTAAGACGCACTGCAGGGTGAGGCCAAGAGAACACGTTAACACACTGGCTTCTTTACAGCGCAGTATACATCGCATTTGTCTCTGTAGCATTTTAACAAACCACTTGTACGATAGTGTCTAGTGTGAGAGAGCAACAGGGGCGGGGCGGCCAATTTAATTACAAATGGTAGCTTTAATGGTTTTATTATTCAAGTTTTACACACAAACTGTATGGCAGGAATCTCCAGTCTTTTTCCTCTGGTGAGCTTCCTTTATAAAACGTGAATGCCGGAGATTTACTCGTTTTAGCAGCAGCAAAATGAGTAACTCTCTGGTCGTGGCTCTTCTACTTTCTCAATTAAAAGAGCCACTGCAACCTCCTGACAGGGTACAGTTAGATACTTATGAAACATAAACCGATATCTGTTTATTACTGCACAAGTTAGACGTCAAAATGACACATTTACAATAGACGAGTTTCATTGTTGACAGAAGCGCGTGTTGCATGCTGGGAATTATTTTGGTCGGCGGCAAGAAACACTAATTCAACATGACGGACGGAGCGAGAAAGCAGGTAAAGGGTATTGATCCCGGTTATTTATCCACTCTAACGGCAGAGGACCCAAGACCATTTGACCAGAAATTGGTCATAAACATCGACGGACGACAAATCACCCTTTTCAACCCCGACAAAATGTGGACCAAACCAAATTTCTGGTCAGAATCTCCAACTACCTGGACAAATATTCACTTCGGCGATATCCACAATGACTTGGTGGAAACTCCTGGGCCATTCACAGCAGAAAAGATGAAAACCTCCAAGAGTCTCAATGTGTTGTTGAACTTGTTGGAGTCCACGGTTTGCTCGGATATTCTATGTTTGCTCTGCAAATGTTTGAAAGCCGTTTAATTCGCTCAGAATATGAAAAAGACATTTTCCTTCTTCCGTGCTTCTATTTGTGTGTCCGATAATGCAGCAGGAATTTACCATTATCAGGGATAAATACGCGAGGTTACGCACTGTGTTTGACCGCTGCCGTGTTTCTTGCCTCTGACCAAAATATTTCCCAGCATGCAACGCGGGCTTTTAATAACAATGACGTCAGCTGAAACTCGCCTATAGTAATTAATCAGAGTTTAGTAATTACCGTATTGTTCTGACTATAAATCACACCACCCAAAAAATGCATAATGAAGAAGAAAAAACATATATAAGTCGCACTTTTTGGAGGAAATGTATTTTATAAAATCAGATACCAGGAGCAGACATTTCCTGTGTAAAGTCCAGTTGTAGTAAAAACAATAGAACAGAGAACAAACAGACTGTTAACGTCACATATGAACAGTTCTTCAGATAAACTATAACATAAACAACAGAACAGAACAAGTTTAACAAACTCTCCATCTCACTCCAAATCACTAAATCCATTCAATTCTTCATCCTCGGTGTCACTTCTGAACAACTCGGCCTCGACCTCTGGAGGTAAACAGAGCGACGCTTCCACTTCTGCGTCGCTTGTCGTCAGACTCAGCATCAGTTCCAGTTAGAATTATTCGGGTCTTTTTGAATCCCGACAGGATGGTTTCGATGTCAATGAAGTCCAGGCTTTGTCCATCCGTCCAGTGACTTTTTTGAGGATTGTGACGACACAGACAGAGACCCTGCACAGTTTAGATCTGACCAGACTCGTTTTAAGCATTTCTGCCGTGTGTTTACGTTAACATAGTTTAACTGTGTGGGAATCACTGAGGCTGTGAAATTACCGTATTCTTCAGACTATAAGTGATACTTTTTTTCATGGTTTGGGTGTTTCCTGTGACTTATTCTCCGCTGCAACACTGAGAAGACTGAACACAAATGCCCCCAAAAACAAAATCAGATTTTGCAGATTACAAGCTGCAAGTCGTGAAATCTGCAGCTGAAAACGGAAATCGAGCAGCAGAAAGAAAGTTTGGAGTGAGAGAGAAACTTGTCACTAGGATGAAACTTTCCTGAAGTCACTGGATGGATGGACAAAGCCTGGACTTCAGTGACACCGAAACCATCCTGTCGGGATTCAGAAAGGCCCCAATAATTCATGTCACTGAAGTCCCGGTGTCACAAGTTTCTGTCTCACTCCAAACTTCTGCTGCTCGATTTTTGCTTTCAGCTGCAGATTTCATGACTTGCAGCTTGTAATTCTTGTCTTGTCTTCTCAGTCTTTGCCTTTATAAGTTTGTTTAAATGTTAAATTGTTCGGTGGTGCAGAAGTAACGGTGCGATCGACTGACATGATACAGACAGGACAGAGGCTCTTTCTGCAGGAGACATGCGCAGTAGAGCCAAGTGACAGTGGTACAGGAGGAACAGGAGCAGTAGATACTGACACACAAGACTAGAACCTCTCCACACTTCACCAAAAACATTTTAATATAGAAATCACACCGGAGAATAAGTCACAGGAATCACCCAAACCATGAAAAAAGTGACACATATAGTCCAAAAAATACGGTAAGCGCAATACGTTTAATTCAGAAATCCCTTGGCGAGCTACTGGTCGCTCCAAAGCTACAGGTTGGAGACTCCTGCTGTATGAACATAGATATTCCTGTTCGTAATTTGCAACTGGCTCCAAATTCTCCCCTGTTTCTGCAAGCCTCATTGAGCTTCATTTGACTGGAGCTGAACGCTGTGGGCGACGTCACACTCCCTTGGTCCACTACTTTATCCGTGTTTAGTCTGTGTGTGCGTTGTGTTTGCGCAGGAGGAGATGACTCGTCTGCAGGAGGACATCGAGAAGTTGAAAACGGCATCCGGCCAGGACAATGAAGAAGAGAAGGTACAAACTTTAAACCACTGTTTCCCAAACCTTTTTTTTTTTCTGGGGTCACAAACTTTCGAGACCCAAGTCAATAAACATTACTCGTAAATCACAAAATAAATGTGGATTTGAGCATTTTTGAACATTAATGAGGATATTTCATTGTTGACTGACTGATCGTGTCTCTGAACAATTAAAATTACTCAAGTTTTAAACGATGAAAAACAGAAAATTGAAGCAGCAGTAAAAGGATCCATAAGTCGCCTATTTGGACTTTAATTCGTGTGTCATTCATTCATTCGTTTTTCAATATAAAACCAAAAATAAGAAAATGAAAAAATAACTGTTTTCTTCACTATTTGTCTCCAAAACCAAAATGAAAAAACAGATAATGATTCGTTTTTTCAGTTTTTGATTTTGTGTTTAAATGAAAAATGGAAAAAAACTGAACCAGGACTAAACCAGATCCGGGACCAAGACTGAGACCGGGACCAGACCAGAATTGAAAACAGTTTAGTCCTGTTTTAGTCCTGGTTCATTCCTGGTTCAGTCCTGGTTCAATCCTGGTTTTAGTTCTGGTTTTAGTCCTGGTTTTAGTCCTGGTTTTAGTCCTGGTTTAGTCTTGGTTTTAGTTCTGGTTTAATCCTGGTTTAGTCCTGGTTTTAGTTCTGATTTAGACCTGTTTTAGACCTGTTTTAGACCTGTTTTAGACCTGTTTTAGACCTGGTTTAGTCCTGGTTTAGTCCTGCTTTTAGTCCTGCTTTTAGTCCTGGTTTAGACCTGGTTAGTCCTGTTTTAGTCCTGGTTTTAGACCTAGTTTAGTCCTGGTTTTAGTTCTGGTTTAGTCCTGGTTTTAGTCTTGTTTTAGTCCTGTTTTAGTCCTGTTTTAGTCCTGTTTTAGTCTTTTTAGTCCTGTTTTAGTCCGGTTTTATCCTGTTTTAGTCCTGGATTTAGTTCTGGTTTAGTCCTGGTTTTAGTCTTGTTTTAGTCTTGTTTTAGTCCTGTTTTAATCCTGTTTTAGTCTTGTTTTAGTCTTGTTTTAGTCCTGTTTTAGTCCTGGTTTTAGTCCTGGTTTTAGTCCTGTTTTAGTCCTGGTTTTAGACCTAGTTTAGTCCTGGTTTAGGCCTGGTTTAGTCCTGGTTTAATCCTAGTTAAATCCTTTTTGTTTTAGTCCTGGTTCAGTTTTGGTTTAGTCCTGGTTTAGTTCTGATTCAGTTTTGATTCAGTCCTGGTTTAGTTCTGGTTTAGTTCTGGTTTAGAGGGGGTTTGTGTTTTCATGGCCTGGTTCTGGTCCGCGGCCCGGGTGTTGGGGACCTCTGCTTTAAACCATAATATTTGCGATCGCATTATTTATTATGTTTGAGATTCCACTGACCTGGTTTTGTTTTGTCCAGGAGAGGAACCAGCTGATAGACCAACAGTACAGCGCCGAGAGAGAGAAACTGCAGAAGATCCGACTGCTCATGGTAATCTCCTGATACACAAACACCACCGCCTCGACGTCAGATTAGATACGAGAGCCGTGACACACGCCCCGCTCACACACGCCGTCTGTCTGCGGTTTGTTTTGTCCTTTGTCTCTGAGCGCACGTCCCTTTCACAGCATGGTCCCTTCTTCTTCTTCTTCTTCTCCTTCACGCTGCGTATTCCACACACGATAAACCGGCGCTTTCACCTCCACACGTGTGAATCACTAGAGCTCTGTCATCGCGCTGAACTTGCTCTTTTTAAAGGGCCCATCGCATGCAAAAATCAACTTTTCAGAGCTTTATGCCTTCTAAGAGTGATGTGCGGGCCTTGTATTTGTCGCCGAAGTGTTTTTTTTTTTACGGAAGCCGAGAGGGGTCGCAACAAACGCAAACGCCGCAACAAATACAAACGCGACAACACAACAAAAAAAGCCACAACGGAAATGACCGCGGGACTCTATTTTAATGCAGACGCCACAACACAAACACAAATGCCGCAACACATTAAAAAGCCACAACACACCAAAAAAAGCCACAACGGAAGTGACCGCGGGACTCTATTTTCCGACTACAACGTGAAACGAATAATGATAAAACAATAAATCTTTTACTTACGTTTCCAACTTCTCCATTCCTTTACTTTTCACGTTGTAGTTCTTCTTCACTTGCCGCTTGATCGGTCTGTCGGAAAGTAGAGTCCCGCGGTCACTTCCGTTGTGGCTTTTTAATGTGTTGTGGCTTTTTAATGTGTTGCGGCATTTGCGTTTGTGTTGTGGTGTTTGTATTTGTTGCGGCGTTTGCATTAAAATAGAGTCCCGCGGTCATTTACGTTATGGCTTTTTTTTATGTGTTGTGGCTTTTTTTGGTGTGTTGTGGCTTTTTTTTTTGTGTTGTGGCTTTTTGTTTTGTTGTCGCATCTGTATTTGTTGCGGCGTTTGTTGTGACCCCTCTCGGCTTCCGTAGTTTTTAGATTGATTCAGCGTTTTTTTAACAAATTGCAGTGTATTTCTGCCACCCTCCCACATGATAACGAGCTAAAGCCGCGACAACGATGATGCCGCAGCTACACCTATGACGCGTTTGACGTAGCAGAAAGTTCTTCACAAAAACATAAACGTATCCAAAATAAACTGTATATCCAACTGTTGTGCAATCTCTATATTGAAAATAAAAAAATAAAATAAAAAATAAATAAACACCCCAGAATAAACGTGTGAAGCTTTATCGTTTCAACTAGATTATATGAGTTTGGAAATTGTTTGACAAACTGAAATCGCAATCAAAATTCGATGAATTGAAGAAAAGCGTTTAACGGAGCCTCCACCAGAAAAGTTACACAATGCATCTTTAACTTCAGGGTAGTCATGTTGTAGACCAGGGGTGTCAAACATACGGCCCGGGGGCCAGATCCAGCCCTCCAAGACCTTTAATCTGGCCCTCGGCTGATTTTCCACAAAAATATTTTAATTATATTTTCTATTAAAATCTTGTAAATTTTCTGTGGTGTTTATCACAGCAGCGTCTCCAGCGTCTCTGTACGTGGCCCCTCCCACCAGAGCAGCACAAATGAAGACTTGTCTCTTTCCAAACGCTCTTAAAGGACGATCGTTTTGACTGTTGACCGTGACACCCTCATCAGAAAAATGTCCAACATGAGAAAAGTGGAGCCGTGTGCAGGATTTTACAACAAAAATTGACTTATTCCTATTTACATACAAGTTCATGTTAAAACATTGTGTTGAAATTGTATTTTTCTTAAAGTTTCAGGTTGTTCATAATATTATAATATTTTGTAAAGAGTTAATCAATTTTAAAAGATTTCTGTAATAGATTTGTGTTTCTCTGCATAAATATTTGAACTTATTGTTATTTTGGGGTTTATACGTCATGAGTTTTCTGATCTGGACCCTTTGGGATCAAAGTCGGTTGGATACGACCCCCGGACTAAAATGAGTTTGACACTCCTGGTCTAGATTATTTAGCGTCGCCCAGTCCCACACAAACTGGTCCTGAAGGTAAAACACGTCAGTCTAAACCTGAACCTGCTGATTTTGCGTGTGCCGCTGCGTCGTGTGCCCAGGCGCGCAGGAACAGAGAGATCGCCATCCTCCAGAGGAAGATCGACGAAGTGCCCAGTCGCGCCGAGCTCACCCAGTACCAGAAGAGGTTCATCGAGCTGTACAGCCAAGGTCCCACCCTCCCACCATGCACCACACACGGGCACCACACACACGGGCATGACGTGATACAGACAGGACAGAGGCTCTTTCTGCAGGAGACATGCGCAGTAGAGCCAAGTGACAGTGGTACAGGAGGAACAGGAGCAGCAGATACTCACACACAAGACTAGAACCTCTCCACACTTCACTCAAACATTTTAATATAGAGGCTTTGCACCGTCACGCGACCCCATAGCAACGGTAACTACGCCGCCATGACACCAGGCACGCGAGATCAAGCATGGCTGCTAAACAGAGCGAGCGTGTTCCATCTCTCCCGAAATATCTCGACTCGCTAGCCTCAGATGAACGATAAAACTACTTGGAAAAGCAAAAATTAATCTCTAATATCGATCCTTATAATGTGACCACTAGTTTCTACTCCGATTCGATAGAATTATGGCCAGAAGTAGAATTTCCGGATACATCAAACTACTTGATATTTGTGAATAGTAGCTACACCAAAGAGCAAATCAAGGTTTATAAAAGGCTACAGGCGTACCAGTATTTTGTTGCTGGGTGGGTCAGATGTGTTTATGTAGGAAAGGCTACCAGTAATGTCAAGGTTTTGATCGGAAAGGTAAGCGTTTTCCAAAATTTCAACGCGAAAGAGAGAGTTCTGTTTGTGTTTCTGTCGAAATCATCATCACATTTGCAGTGTGAGCGACAGTAGAAACTGTATCTTCCAACTCGCATATAAACATGTCACTCGTCGTAGGACCGATGTTTTCTTTATTGTCTTGCTTATCCACAACTACGTCTTCTACAACTAATCGCTTTTTACGAGCAGATCTCTCTAACGTTTGCGAGTATCTTTTCACGGCCGATTGTTTCGCAGTTCGGCTCACAGACTCTTCGACTCGTGCCCCATATTGATAGTAGGAGCCCAATCTGGGTTCATTGGATCATAGACTGGTGCGGGTTTTCCTGGATAAATGAATGAAATTTTTGTTCAGTAAATGTGCTTCTTTCATTTAATAAGCTATGAAACAATTTAAATAGCAAATACCTTGATGAAAGTGACGCGAGCAAACTTTGGGTGACTTGACGGTACCATTAGAAATCTCTTCACGGTTTATGTTTTCTAGCCATAATTCATGTCTTTTTTTCGATAATTCCCTTGTTTGAGATCCCTGATGAGTAATTTCCAGAGGAACATTGAAAAAATGAATCATTTTATCCCTTTCAGAGCGTCTAGAACAACCAAACACACAACAAAACCTGTCCATTATTCTCCGATGCTACTTAAGTGAGTGGCATAGCGTGCCCAGTGTCATGGCGGCGTAGTTACCGTTGCTATAGGGGTCACATGACGGTGCAAAGCCTCTATAGAAGTCACACCGGAGAATAAGTCACAGGAAACACACAAGCCATGAAAAAAAGTGCCACTTATAGTCTGAAAAATACGGTATTTTTTAGAACAATCACTTGTAGCTAAAGCATTCTGAAGAAGTTCCTTTTAAACAGTGTTGCCGAGAGTAAATCTGACCGTGTGCTCGTGTTTTCAGTGTCTGCCACTCACAAGGAGACAAAGCAGTTCTTCACGTTGTACAACACACTGGACGATAAGAAGCTGTACCTGGAGAAGGAGGCCAATCTGCTCAACTCCATCCACGACAACTTCCAGCAGTGAGTACAGCCCAGGGTCACGAGAAGGTCCGCTCCAGACCTGAACCTTGGACTTGACGCATTACAGAGACACTCGGTTTTAATGCTGAAGTTTTGGTGTGTGTAAAGTGTGCGTGGGTCCTTGATGTGAGTGTCCAACTGTGATGCCTGAGCTTTATATAAATGTGACGATTGAGACGGAGCTGATGTTGTTTCAGGGCGATGTCGTCAGCGGGAGCCAAGGAGCAGTTCCTCAGACAGATGGAGCAGATCGTGGAGGGCATCAGACAGAGCAGGATAAAGGTGCAGTACAGACTCTGAGCCTCTAGATCTGAGCTGGACTTACAGTTTGTGTGTGACAGTCTGACGTGTGCGTGTCTCTGTTTGTGTCTCACATGTGTGTAATGTGTGTGTGGTGGTCAGATGGAGAAGAAGAAGCAGGAGAACAAGATGAGGAGAGACCAACTGAACGATGAGTACCTGGAGCTGTTGGATAAACAGCGTCTCTACTTCAAGACCGTCAAAGATTTTAAAGAGGTGAGGAAGGCCCGCTGTACATGTGGAGTCACTGTTCAGCATTAAAGAAGTACAGAAGGAGTTATTGTCTAATTATGAGTCTGAGTTTTTACTAGGGGTGTAACGGTTCATGTATTTGTGCCGAACTGTTTCGGTCTAGGGCAGTACACGAGTGAGTCTGTGTAATTTGTGTGTGTTTATTGGTGTTATAACTTTCTTACAACCTCTATACCCTGTATCATATGTAGATGAACTTTTTCTAGTAATGAAAGGAATTGACCTTCAGTTGGTCATATTTTTCGAAAAAGTCCCCCCAGACTCAAAATGAAGTTTTGGTAAAGCAACAACCAGAATAAAACAGTTAGAAGTCCAATGAGATTCATTTGGTCTTCAGATATTCTATGTTATTAGGTTCTTTTTTTCAGACCTAGAGTGTTATTTCATACCTGACAGTTTGGTCTGCTCACTAGCGTCTTCCTCAGAGTCACGTGACGTTGCTGTGACGTGTCTGGTCAGCTGATTTAAACAGGTTTTGGCGCTGTTTTCCTACCGGTGGAGGCAGGACGACAGCGCCACCTGCAGTCCCACTTCCTCAGCATCCCAGGTGTGTGAGAGTAAAAAAGCCCCTCGTCCCGGTTTACAGATGGCGCTGTCGTCCTGCCTCCACCGGTAGGAAGACAGCGCCAAAACCTGTTTAATAACACAGGAACAAAACAGAATCAGGGTAAAGATCATATAAAATAGGCAACTAAAAGTCCAAAAATGGTGATTGTCAGTGTTGGTTACAATGATGAATCGAATGGTTTATAAAGTGAAAACAAGTATAGAAAGTGAAACTCCAGTATATTATGATGCAGTACAACTTATTATTGATCCATTTTCAGTCACATTGACTTGTAACGGCCCTTGTGAGAAATTAACCGTTTCACATTTCTTATCATCGACTGTAATGTGTATTTAATATTTTTTTGTTTCGGGGAGACTTTTTTAAAAGAGTGTTGAAAATGGAGTTTGGTTTCTTCAATTGTACCAAAAAGTTCATCCAATCATGATGCAGGATTTTGGAATAAAAGTAAAAAAAAGTTATAACCCTAGTGTTTATATTCCGCCACTACACGCGCAGCTACACGGAGACTCGGCTCTTTAATATTCACGAGAACCTGTCCGTGATTGGGGCAGTGTTTCCCGCAGCGCTTTATAGTTAGGGCGGCCGTCGCGACAACAACTGTCCCTTGCCTTGACCACGTCCCTCCGAACCACGTGAATCTTCACAAAACTACGGTCGTCGCACCCCGGTCCTCACTTTTGCCTTTCGCCAGCACGGAATCTCCGCCACCCTCCCCCAGACCCACGACCTCTGTCCCGAGTGAAAGAGTCTTTTCATTCTCCGAGGACAGAGGTTGAAAAGATCTGCTCTAACTGCAGACGATGTGGACAAGGTGTTTTTTCTGACCAAAAATCTGAAGATTGAGTAAAACTTCATGCTGGAACTGTTACTGCTTTTTGAAAAGTTTATTTAGTGTTAATTTTTTTTTTTTACAATATTTCATACATTTGTTGCGTATTTGACAATATTTAATTTAATTTATTAGTTTTACCAAGCAGCACTTTGCATTTATTTAATTTTCCCGTGTGTATAAATTTAAAACTAATTGTTGGTTTAATAAAAACACAAATAAACAACAAGAAAATAGTTTTGCATTTTGTTCCCAAACTGAACCGAAAATGAACCGAACCGTGACCTCAAAACCGAGGTACGTACCGAACCGTGATTTGTGTACCGTTCCACCTCTAGTTATTAGTTAAAAAAAAAATTTAAAAAAGTTTCAATCAGATCTAGTTTACTCAAATACTCCTCTGCCAGTGATTTTGTATTATTATCTCAACAAAACAAAACCAACCACATTTATAATTTTACTTTAATTGTAAAGCGTGACGTCACCATTTACACGATTTTGAAAGTTAAATTTAAAACCTAAAAAAATGCCAAATTGGGAGAAAAAAGCGTAAAATATTTAATAAAATCTTACAAAAAAGAGAGTGTTTTCGTGAAATGAGTAGTCCAATCTGTCCTAGGCACTTTAATACCCCGTGGAAAGTGTAATAATAATAATGTTCTTCGGTTGTTCTCTGCTGAGGAACCTGTCTGAGTTTTCGCTGGTGTCTTTCTTGTTTTGTGTTTCAGGAGTGCCGTAAGAACGAGATGCTGCTGTCCAAGCTGCAGAGTAAAGGTGCCTCCTGATGTTCTCCTCCTCTCCCTCACGCGCTCAAGAATGTACTGTCTACTTGAACATTCCTGTCCACACAAACACCTGTGCCAAACCTCCCAGAGAGCGGCCTTAACCACAGCCTGGCTACACCACATCTCCACCGCATCTCCACCGCATCTCCACCGCATCTCCACCGCATCTCCACCGCATCTCCACCGCATCTCCATCACATCTCCGTCACGTTTCTGTCACATCTCCACCGCATCTCCACAACATCTTCGTCACATCTCCACAACATCTCGGTTATGTCTCCACAACATCTCGGTTATGTCTCCACAACATCTCGGTTATGTCTCCACCACATCTCCACCACATCTCCGTCACGTTTCTGTCACATCTCCACCGCATCTTCACAACGTCTCCGTCACGTCTCCACAACATCTTCGTCACATCTCCACAACATCTCGGTTATGTCTCCACAACATCTCCGTTATGTCTCCACAACATCTCCACACATCTCCACCACATCTCCACCACATCTCCGTCACGTTTCTGTCACATCTCCACCGCATCTTCACAACGTCTCCGTCACGTCTCCACAACATCTTCGTCACATCTCCACAATCTCCACAACATCTCGGTTATGTCTCCACAACATCTCCGTTATGTCTCCACAACGTTTCCATCACATCTCCATCACATCTCCACCCATCTCTCCGTCATCTCCACATTCATCTCCACCATCTCCACGCATCTTCACAACTCTCTCGTCACATCTCCACAAACATCTCCACTCTCAACGTCTCCACACAACGTCTCCACGTCCACATCTCCACAACATCTCTCCACCACATCTCCGTCACCATCTCCACCAATCTCATTCTCCACTCTCACAACATCTCCACACATCTCCACATGTCTCCACAACATCTCCACACACGTCTCCACAACATCTCCCACAATCTCTCTCACAATGTCCCATCACATCCACAACGTTCTCCATCACACTCCATCATCTCACTACATCTCCACATCCGTCACATCTCCACAACATCTCGGTTATGTCTCCACAACATCTCGGTTATGTCTCCACAACGTCTCACATCTCCTCGTTTCCATCACATCTCCACAACGTCTCCGTTATATCTCCACAACGTCTCCATCACATCTGCACGTTTCCATCACATCTCCACAACGTCTCCACAACATCTCCACAACATCTCCACACCACATGTCTCCACAACATCTCCACAACGTCTCCACAACATCTCCACAACATCTCCACAACGTCTCCACCACGTCTCCACAACGTCTCCACAACATCTCCACAACGTCTCCACAACATCTCGGTTATGTCTCCACCACGTCTCCACAACATCTCCACAACGTCTCCACAACATCTCCACAACATCTCGGTTATGTCTCCACAACGTCTCCACAACATCTCCGTTATGTCTCCACAACGTCTCACACACGTCTCCACCAACGTCTCCACAACGTCTCCACAACGTCTCCACAACGTCTCCACAACGTCTCCACCACGTCTCCACAACATCACCGTTTCGAGGAAGTCATCTGGTCCTACTTCATAATGTGGCTGGTCAAAGGGGCTCACAGACACAAAGGTGAAGTTACGTACAGTAAGAAGAGAGGACTAAAGGGGAGAGTGACGGAGGAGGCCTAAACAGGAGAATGACAGGTGAAAGGACTAAAGGGGAGAGTGACGGGGGAGAGTGGACTAAAGGGGAGAGTGACGGGGGAGAGTGGACTAAAGGGGAGAGTGACGGAGGAGAGTCTAAACAGGAGAATGACCGGCGAAATGAATAAAGGGGAGAGTGGCAGGCAAAAGGACTAAAGGGGAGAGTGACGGGAGAGGTCTAAAGGGGAGAGTGATGGAGGAGGCCTAAACGGGAGAATGACAGGTGAAAGGACTAAAGGGGAGAGTGACGGGGGAAGAGGACTAAAGGGGAGAGTGACGGGGGAAGAGGACTAAAGAGGAGAGTGAGATGGAAGAGGACTAAAGGGGAGAATGAGGTGGAAAGGTCTAAAGGTGGGAGTGAGGGGTGAGAGGACTAAAGGGGAGAGTGAGGATAGAGGACTAAAGAGTGTGAGATGAGGCCTAAACGGGAGAATGACGGAGGAGAGGAATAAAGGGGAGACTGATGAGGGAGAGAACTAAAGGTGACACTGACGGGGGAGAGGACTAAAGGGGAGAGTGACGGGGTAAAGGACTAAAGGGGAGAGGCCTAAAGGGGCAAGACCTTAGTTAGCTGGACTGCACGCACACATTTCACATCCATTGACAGTTTTAGAGCAAAAACTTCCAAATTATCACAGGTTACAGTAAAAAAGGGTAAAAAAAATGAACTAAGAATAATAGAGAATGTGACTATAACACCATGTACACGGTTTAATTGCAGAAAAAAACTCCGATTTCATGTTTAGTCCCACTTTAAACCTCCCTGAAGTAATACCAGATCGACTTTCTCAACACAGAATTGCGTAAGAAGGAAGTTTGGCGAGCCAGGCTAAACAGAACACACATTTGTACTAAACATTTACTCGTTCAGTATTTCCTTTTATTTTTTGGGGTTGTGTAGAGCCGATATAATGTGAAAACCTGCTTTATGATTTGCACAATAAAGCACACTGTTAACTTTTGATTAGCAATTATAATTATATGTACCATTTTTACCACTTCCCAGGAATAACACACAACCCACTGAGAAAAGTCTACGCTCACTAACTAAATGTAAAGAATTGTTTTTGCACTTTATAATTTGAGTATTTTATAATGTCTTATTACAAATCACACATACGAACAGTTAATTTAATAATATTCAAATCTACATAATCGCTCCAGAAACAACAGAACGGCTTGCGTACATTTCATAATACCTGAAGTTTTGAAATCATAACAGAATCATCCAGCCTCACTTCCCAAATCAACTGTGTCGAAATGCAGAAAGCCTATTTTTAAATGTTATTACTGTAAAATAAAACTTATGAATTATTGACATCTGCACTTGTATTTTTATTGTGTTTTCATTTTACTGACTTATTACTACTACTACAAGACATGCAGTAGTGTCGTAGTACTCGAGACCGGCTTCGAGACCACTTCTTCACGGTGTTGGACTCGGTCTTGTCTCGGTCTTGAGCTACGTTTAAATGATGAGGGTCTGAGCAGAAGACGCAAAAGTGGCGTCGCGTCTTCACCTTTTATTCCGCGTTTAGACGAGGGTTTTCGGAGGAAATCTGCGTGCATACGATGACGCAAAAGTGTGTGGAATTCGATTGCGTATGAACGCCAGGCGACTCGGTGGTGATGTATGTGACGTGAACGTGTACGCGACCTGAGCAGATCTGACCAGAGTTTTGCTCTTGGGCAGTGTAGACGGAAACGCTACGGCGGAGTGTATTCAACTTTTCCACTCTGGAGGGTGGTTTCAGATTTTTGCGTTTTTGAGCCCCAAAAACGCCGTCACCGTCTAAACGAAAGGCACTTCCGATAAAATATTTTGTCGTTTTTACCCACAAGTGTTCTCATGTAAAAGGGGCCTTGAAGGCGCTCAGACTCGGTCTTGTCTCAGTCTTGAAGGCGCTCGGACTCTTGTCTCAGTCTTGAAGGAACTTGGACCTGGTCTTGTTCCGGTCTTGAAGGCGCTCGGACTCGGTCTTGTCTCAGTCTTGGACTCGGTCTTGTCTCGGTCTTGAAGGCGCTCGGACTCGGTCTTGTCTCGGTCTTGAAGGCGCTCGGACTCGGTCTTGTCTCGGTCTTGAAGGCGCTCGGACTCGGTCTTGTCTCGGTCTTGAAGGCGCTCGGACTCGGTCTTGTCTTCGGTCTTGAAGGCGCTCGGACTCGGTCTGTTTTGGTCTTGAAGGCGCCCGGACTCGGTCTTGTCTCGTCTTGAAGGCGCTCGGACTCGGTCTTGTTTCGGTCTTGAAGGCGCTCTCGGTCTTGTTTCGGTCTTGAAGGCGCTCGGACTCGGTTTTTTCGTTCTTGAAGGCACTTGAACTCGGTCTTGTCTCGGTCTTGAAGGCGCTCGGACTCGGTCTTGTCTCGGTCTTGAAGGCGCTCGGACTCGGTCTTGTCTCGGTCTTGAAGGCGCTCGGACTCGGTCTTTGTTTGTTCTTGAAGGCGCTCGGACTCGGTCTTGTCTCGGTCTTGAAGGCGCTCGGACTCGGTCTTGTCTCGGTCTTGAAGGCGCTCGGACTCGGTCTTGTCTCGGTCTTGAAGGCGTTTGGACTCGGTCCTGTTTTCGGTCTTGAAGGCGTTTGGACTCGGTCCTGTTTCGGTCTTGAAGGCGTTTGGACTCGGTCTTGTCTCGGTCTTGTCTCGGTCTTGTCTCGGTCTTGAAGGCGCTCGGACTCGGTCTTGTCTTGGTCTTGAAGGCGCCCGGACTCGGTCTTGTCTCGGTCTTGAAGGCGCTCGGACTCGGTCTTGTCTCGGTCTTGAAGGCGCTTGGACTTGGCCTTGTCTGTTTTTGGTTTTTTTGGGGGGTTTTTTCAGTAAAGTTTGGCAAGTCCAGGCCTGAAATTCAGTGTGAGAGACGAACTCAGCGTAAATGTGCAGGTTTGTGTGTTAAACTTGTGTGAATGAAACAAAACAAAAAAAACACAACTCCAGGTCTGTTTGTGACAAGGAAACGACATTAGAACAGATCAGAAAATATTCCAACATGGGCCCTTTAACTTATTTGTGTCTTCTACATTCTTGACTTATCTCATCTGCCTTTGCACATTATTCAGGTGTTTCTGTTCTGTTTTTTTTTGTCCCTCCGGGGCCCACGTACTTCGCACACACAGTTAACAGCAGGTCTAGTCACTCACAGATAAAACGACGCAAACAGAATGGAGTGTCCGACGCACAAGAACACACAACTCAGCAACTCCCCCCGGTGTGACGAACGCTCCAAGAAAACCGTTACTGCCACTAAAAGTCCACAAAAACAGAATTTCCACGGGTACTATCCCACCAAACCAGGTCATAATGAGAGAAAAACATGCCGCTGATGTCGTCAACATTACCGGATAAACTCTGTCTGAAGATCTGTCACTGAAATTATAGACTTAAAGGTGCACTGTGTAACTTTTCTAGTGCAGGGACAGCTGTGGAAATGTTATTGTTTTGTCTGGAATGTTCCACAGCATAGATTAAACTCGTCTATCACGAGGGAGACGATCTGTGGAGAGGCGCACCTATTCACAGAAGGAATTACTGTGTTTTTTGGATTATTATTTTATAAAATCGGAGACTAGGAGCCGACATTTCCTGTGTGAAGTCAAGTTGTAGTAATAGAAGAGAGAACAACAGACTGTTAACGTCACATATGAACAGTTCTTCAGATAAACTGTAACATAAACAACAGAACAGAACAAGTTTAACCAAACTCTCCATCTCACTCCAAATCACTAAATCCATTCAATTCTTCATCCTCGGTGTCACTTCTGAACAACTCGACCTCCGGAGGTAAACAATCTGTGTATCATTTGTTCATTAGTTTTTCAATATAAAACCAAAAATAAGAAAATGAAAAAACAAAAAATGTCTTCATTATTTATCTCCAAAACCAAAATGAAAAAACAGACAATGATTTGTTTCTTCAGTTTTCAATTTTGTGTTTAAATGAAGAATGGAAAAAAATGATAACGGCCGTTTAAATGACATCTTAGACTGTGATGTCGGACTTTTGCGCCGCATACAGACTGAACTAGGACTGATCCAGGTCTGTGACCAGAGCGGGACCAGAGTGGACTCCGAGCCTCTGCGGGGTCTGAGTCTCAGCTTCAAGCTCTGGCCCTGCCATGGGCTCTGAGCCTCCGGTCTGGTCCCGGTCTGGTCCCGGTCTCAGTCCCCTGTCTGGTCCTGGTCTGGTCCCAGTCTGGTCCTGGTCTGGTCCCGGTCTGGTCTCTGTCTCAGTCACGGTCTGGTCCCGGTCTGGTCCCGGCCTGGTCCTGGTCTGGTCCCAGTCTGGTCCTGGTCTGGTCCTGGCCTGGTCCCGGCCTGGTCCCGGTCTGGTCCCGGCCTGGTGCCGGTCTGGTCCCGGTCTGGTCCCGGTCTGGTCCTGGTCTGGTCCTGGTCTGGTCTCTGTCTGAATCACGGTCTGGTCCCAGTCTGGTCCTGGTCTGGTCCCTGACCTGGATCAGTCCTGGTTCAGTCCGTATGCGGAGCAAAAGTCTTACAAACGCAGTCACGGAATCACGTAAACACAAACCATTATCCGTTTTTTTTTTTTCCATTTTTCATTTAATCACAAAATCGAAATCTGAGAAAAAAACGAATCATTATCTGTTTTTTCATTTTGGTTTTAGAGACAAATAATGAAGAAAATAGTAGTAATAGTTTTTTCGTTTTCTTATTTTTGGTTTTATATTGAAAAACGAATGAACGAATGACACACGGATTGTAAACACAGAGCCGCTTCCTCTTCTGTGTCGCTGTCGTCAGATTCTGCATCAGGTGCAGTTGAAAGTTGCATGATGCACCAGGAGGATGCAACAGAGAGAACAACATAATAATGCACATTTTAAAATAATAAGTGTTAAGCTCAGTTGTCTTTAAAATGTACAAAGTTTGCCCTGAATAAAGTTTGTCTGTATCACCTAAAAGTAAAAACAACTTGCGCTGGATTAGATTAATGACTCGTCCTTTGTAACATCAAATAATTGAAAGTAACTTTTACACAAATTACATTTTAAATAAAGTATTATTTTAGTTTAGTAGATTTTGAGATGGTGACTTTTACTTTTACTTCAGTAGGAATTAAGCAAAGTAAAAATACTTTCACTTAATTAAAATTTTTCAGTACTTTTTCCACCTCTGCTGATTCTAGTGAAGGTGTGTGCAGTTTAAAAACACAGTGGAGCACTTCTTTTGTGACGTCATGAGCTGGAACGGAGTGTTTTCTGTTTGAGCGACGTGCGCGAATGAAACAAAACACAACTTCAGGTCTGTTTTTGATGAGGAAACATTAAAACAGATCAGAAAACGGCATCATGTAGACTCTTTGTGACCAGCAGCTTCGGTCGCGCTCGTTCACAAAAGTTACACCTTTAACTTCTTTTTCGTTGCTACGTTACGAGCGTCTTTAAATTCTTATCAGGAAACCTCCAATCTGTCGTGATTATGAGTGAACAGACTGTATGCAACAGCCGTCACTGCATGATAACGGGTTTAAAAGCTCCTCTCTGCTCTGCTCTCAACTTTAACACGAGTCCAGACGTTATGGAACTAAACTCCTCCAAACGGAACATGCGCCGAGTGACTTAAACCCGGAGTCCAACTTTGGGATATTATGGACGTATTTCGATTACTGCTCCTCCTGCTGTGTGGATTCGGAGCGCGCGATTGGTCGTCGGGTGCCCAGAAACCGGAGGTCAAAGGACTGTGGGGCCAGAATCTGAGAGAGGTTTTATCCAGAAGAGGTAAGGATTTTTGTGTTTGTTGTTTGAATTTTTTTGGACAAATATTGCGATTGTACACGAACACCCTAATTTTTCCCAGTTATTTGTTGCAATTCAAGTCGTGCAAGTCCAAAGAAGAGCTTGAAATGGTGCAAAAAAATATATATAAAAGAACAAAACACACAAGTCCAAGCTCTGCCAAAACAACCTCAGGAAAAAAGAACAAGATGGTGAAGATTTCCGAAAATAGGATCCATCCTACTTCAAAATACACAGAGAGCATGAATCTGTTGTTGTATTGTGAAAGAGCCCAGGTCCCAAAAGACTGTCAATAGAGGCTTTGCACCGTCACATGTCCCCATGGCAACGGTACCTACGCCGCCATGACACCGGGCACAATATGTCATTAACTTCAGCAGCATCGCAGAAACATGGGCAGGTTTTGTTGTGTATTTGGTTGTTCTAGACCAGGGGTGTCAAACTCATTTTGTTCCGGGGGTCGTATCCAACCGACTTTGATCCCAAAGGGGCTGGATCAGAAAACTCATGTCATATAAACCCCAAAAATAACAATAAGTTCAAATATTTGTGCAGAGAAACACAAATCTATTACAGAAATCTTTTTTAATTGATGAACTCTTTTACAAAATATTATAATATTATGAACAACCTGAAACTTTAAGAAAAATACAATTTCAACACAAAGTTTTAACATGAACATTGTTTAACTTGTATAATAGGAATAAGTAAATTTTTGTTGTAAAATCCTGCACTCGGCTCCACTTTTCTCATGTTGGACATTTTTCTGATGAGGGTGTCACGGTCAACAGTCAAAACGATCGTCCTTTAAGAGCGTTTGGAAAGAGACAAGTCTTCATTTGTGCTGCTCTGGTGGGAGGGGCCACGTACAGAGACGCTGGAGACGCTGCTGTGATAAACACCACAGAAAATTAACAAGATTTTAATAAAAAATAGAATCAAAATATTTTAGTAGAAAATCAGCCAAGGGCCAGATTAAAGGTCTTGGAGGGCCGGATCTGGCCCCGGGCCGCATGTTTGACACCTGTGTTCTAGACGCTCTGAAAGGGATAAAACAAATCATTTTTTTCACTGTTCCTCTGGAAATGACTCATCAGGATCAAACAAGGGAATTATGGAAAAAAAAGATTCTGTCTAGAGAACATAAACCACGAAGAGATTTTCTATGGTCCCATCAAGACACCTGAAGGTATTTTGCTATTTATTGAAAGAAGCACATTTACTGAACTAAAATGTCATTCATTTATCCAGGAAAAGCCGCACTAGTTTATGATTCAACAAACCCACACTGGGCTCCTGTGATCAACATGACGCACGAGTCGAAGAGTCTGTGAGCCGAACCTCCAAAGAATCGACCATGAAAAGATCCTCGCGAACGTTACAAAGATCCACTCACAAAAAACGATTAATTCTAGAAGACAAAGTTGTGGATAAACAAGACAATAAAGAAAACATCAGTCCTATGACGAGCAGTGTTGGGGAGTAACAGATTACATGTACCGGAGTTAAGTAATCAGAGTACAAATTATGAGTAACTGTATTCAGTTACAGTTACTGTTTCAGTGAGTGGTAATTGGATTACAGTTACTTTGTTAAAATAAATGGATTACAGGGCGGTATTTTTCTGTTTTCACATTTTGGGCTAAACCAGGACTAAAACCAGGACTAAAACCAGGACTAAAACAGGTCTAAACAATATGACACTTCACACTTAACTTAACTTAACAGTAGGTGGACATCATTTAAAGCAGCAGTGATCTCATATAAAAATGTTTTCTCTATCAATAATATTTTTAATATGTTTAAGTAAAGTCTGGGCTTCTTATTTTCTTTTAGCAGATAAAACAAAACATCTTTTGTTCAGATCCTCGTCTTTGCTTCTCTACAGTAAAACAAAAGTCTGTTCATGGAGACTTGGGCTCAACAACCAGTTTGACAAGAATGTTCAGGATGTGGTCGCTACGTTCATGTAGTTTTAAAAAGCACAACAATATCAAGTAATCCAAAGTATTCAGATTACATTACTCACCTTAAGTAATTTAATGGATTCCGTTACAAACTACATTTTGCAGTATGTAATCTGTAATCTGTAGGGGATTACATTTTAAAAGTAAACTTCCCAACACTGACGACGAGTGACATGTTTATATGTGCTGGAAGATACAGTTTCTACTGCAAATGTTTTCTTTTTACATTTTAGTTCAGTAAATGTGCTTCTCTCATTAAATAAACTATGAAACAATTTAAATAGTAAATACCTTGATGAAAGTGACGTGAGTGTGTCTTGATGGTGCCATTGGAAATCTCTTCGTGGTTTATGTTCTCTAGACATAATCGGCATCTTTTTTTTCGATAATTTCTTTGTTTGATCCTGATGAGTCATTTCCAGAGGAACAGTGAAGAAACGAATCATTTTATCCCTTTCAGAGCATCTAGAACAACCAAATACACAACAAAACCTGCCCATGTTTCTCCAATGCTGCTGAAGTCAATGACATAGGCTGAGTTCAGACTGCAGCCTGAAGTGACCCAAATCCGATTTTTTGGCCCCTATGTTCCTGTATCTGATCTTTTAATGACAGTCTGAACGACACAGATCTGATTTTTTCAAATGTGACCCAGGACACTTGGATATTTGCTCCTGAAACTGATACATATCTGATCTTTTGACATGTGACTTCAGTCTGAACGGACAAAGTGCATTCATCCACCTACACTTTATCAACAAGACACAAACGTCACTATTCTGCACTGAAGTAGGTGAAAATTGTTAATGAACTCTGTGTCACTGAAGTGAAGCACATCACCACTCACCACTCTTGGCTCCGTCTCCACATCCACACGTTTCTTTCAACGGACTGAACCACAAAACACCACGACCAAAAACCTCGTCCTTCTCCTTCTCAATCTCCTCCTTAAAACAAGTAAGTTGTTCATGTTCTGGCTCCGGTACGAGAGGAACTTTAAAATCTCCAGGTGCTCGATGCTGCGTCCATGTTTGGACAACTTCTGTAAACACAGAGACGCTCGCTGCGGTTGACGTCGTCGTGTCTCCAGTGTCACATGTGGGACACTTTTGGGCCGTTTAATGTTCACACTGGAGTCACATACAAGTCACATTTAACTGGAAATGTGAACGACCTCGAAAAAACATCGGATTTCACAATAAAAATTGGAATTGAGCGTTAAGCCCTGCAGTCTGAACGTAGCCATATTGTGCCCGGTGTCATGGTGGCGTAGGTACCGTTGCCATGGGGACACGTGACGGTGCGAAGCCTCTATAGTCCGGAAAATACGGTAGCTGTGCCTCCATGTCCTGTGTCCAAAACAACAACCTCATGTCCTGCTTCCTCTTCTGTGTCCGCACATGCTCAGTCTCACAGATTCTGGCAAATCGTCTCGTGGAACGACTTCAACAGAGCGAAACCCTCACAAGAGGCGACCGGATTTCAGACAAGTTTGATTTTCTTGCAACAATGTCGATCGGGAGCTGGTCGTGAGGGATTAATCGTTTTTTTTTACCCCATGTTTACAACACGAAGCACGACACACGATGAATCCAAAACTCGGCCCGATCCCCAAAACAGTCGCACGAGTGAAAAATCGGCTCAAAAAGGGTCAAAAATCGCGACAGTCCTTTTTTCAAACGTTGTGCATGTGTGACACCACCTTCCTCCTCCACAGCTCCACAAGTAGAAACATCTCCTCCCGCTTTTTTACTCTAGAAATCACGCTTGTTTACAGCCGGTGCTCGTTCAGATTTACCGTTGACGTGTCCTGTCTAGAAGTAATTTATCGACCGACGCGCCTTCAGTTTTTAGACCCTTCGTCTGCTTCCGTCGCGCCATCGCTGGAAGGAATCTCCAAGAATCACCTCAGTTTGTCTTCGCTCCTTTTCCCCTTCTCTTCTTCTTTCAGCGACCTCAAAAACAGACTTTCTTTTGCGGCGAACTGCTCGTGGATTCTCGTCCGCCATCGCGACAAACTTTGTGCGAATTGCGAAGAAGCGACGGTTTGAAAAAGCTTCGAAGAACCGCTGCATAAACCACGTAATCCCGAGTCAGATACACTAGAGATGCAGGGAGTTTGATTGACAACCTAACAGCCAATAGAAAATGAGGCAGCCTCGTTTTCTATTGGCTGATGTTTATCTGGCCTCAGATCCTTCACAGTCAGTGTTGGGAAGGTGACTTTTAAAATGTAATCCCCTACAGATTACAGATTACATACCCTAAAATGTAGTTTGTAACGTAATCCATTTAATTACTTAAAGTGAGTAACGTAATCTGAATACTTTGGATTACTTGATATTCAGTAGAGAAGCAAAGATTAGACAAGATGTTTTGTTTGCTAAAAGAAAATGAAAAGCCCAGATTTTACTTAACCGTATTAAAAATATTACTGATAGAAGAAGAGACACGTCCCCACAGCATGATTTAGACCTGTTAAATCCTGTTTTAGTCCTGGTTTAGACCTGATTTTAGACCTGGTTTAGACCTGATTTTAGACCTGGTTTAGACCTGGTTTAGATCTAGTTTAGATTTGGTTTTAGTCCTGGTTTAGTCCTGGTTTAGACCTGGTTTAGACCTGGTTTAGATCTAGTTTAGATCTAGTTTAGACTTGGTTTTAGTCCTGATTTAGTCCTGGTTTAGACCTGGTTTTTGACCTGGTTTAGATCTAGTTTAGCTCTAGTTTAGACTTGGTTTTAGTCCTGGTTTAGTCCTGTTTTAGTCCTGGTTTAGACCTGGTTTAGATCTAGTTTAGACTTGGTTTTAGTCCTGGTTTAGTCCTGTTTTAGTCCTGGTTTAGACCTGGTTTTTGACTTGGTTTAGATCTAGTTTAGCTCTAGTTTAGACCTGGTTTTAGTCCTGGTTTAAACCTGGGTTTAGTCCTGGTTTAGATCTAGTTTAGACCTGGTTTTAGTCCTGGTTTAAACCTGGTTTTAGTCCTGGTTTAAACCTGGTTTAAACCTGGTTTTAGTCCTGGTTTAAACCTGGTTTTAGTCCTGGTTTAGATCTAGTTTAGACCTGGTTTAGTTTAGGCAATGAGTGGAATTACCAAAAAAAAAAAAAAAGAAAAGCAAAAAGCAGGATATAGTCCAAAGTGTGAAAACAGGAAAACACCTCTGTGTAATCCATTTATTTTAACAAAGTAACTGTAATCCAATTACCACTCACTGAAACAGTAACTGTAACTGAATACAGTTACTCATCATTTGTACTCTGATTACTCCGGTACATGTAATCTGTTACTCCCCAACACTGTCCACAGTTGATAGATTTTCATTCTTTTTTTTTTCTTGGTCATCATAAGTACAAAGCTGCTGCGTCTCTGTAATGGTGTTTTAAATTTTCACTGACAATTTGAAACAAAAACAAAACAAAACAAAAAAAAAATCTCCATACAACCTTTAAAAACACAACGAGCGGAGCAGGAAGAGCAGCGCCGCAGTTTTGGAGAGAACCGTGCGTCTCCGTGAGTGTGGCGTCTGTTTTCACCTGCTCTTGTGTTCTCAGATCCTGCCCCGTGGTGGAGCAGCGGCGCCCCCCACAGGAAGCTGCTGTACTGTCGCGTGGGGAAGGGCTTCCACCTGCAGATCCCGTCCGGGGGAGAGATCCGCGGCGTGCACAGTCCGGACGAGTCCTGTGAGTCCCCCAAAAAAAAAAAAAAAAAACAAAAAACTGGAATTTCACAGGGAGACGCGCGTGAGAAAGTTTTTCAATATAAAACCAAAACTAAGAAAATGAAAAAAATCAACAGTTTTCTTCATTATTTGTCTCCAAAAACCAAAATGAAAAAACAGATGATGATTCGTTTGTTCAAATGAAAAATGGAAAAAAAATGGATAACTGAACCAGGACTGAACCAGGACTGAACCGGGACTGAACCGGGACTGAACCGGGACTGAACCGGGACTGAACCGGGACTAAAACAGGACTAAACCGGGAACTAAACCGGGACTGAACCAGGACTAAACCGGGACTGAACCAGGACTGAACCAGGACTTAAATCTGGACTAAACCAGGACTAAACCGGGACTGAACCAGGACTAAACCGGGACTGAACCAGGACTAAACCGGGACTAAACCAGGACTAAATCTGGACTAAACCAGGACTAAACCGGGACTGAACCAGGACTGAACCAGGACTAAACCGGGACTAAACCAGGACTAAACTGGGACTAACCAGGACTGAACCAGGACTAAATCTGGACTAAACCAGGACTAAACCAGGACTAAACCATTACTAAACCGTTTTCAGTCCTGGTCTGATCCCGGTCTGAGTCCCCGTCTCAATCATGGCCTGGTCCTGGTCTGGTCCCACTCTCAGTCCCGGTCTGTTCCCGGTCTGGTTCAGTCTCAGTCCCGCTCTCAGTCCTGGTCTGGTCCCGGTCTGAGTCCCCGTCTCAATCATGGCCTGGTCCTGGTCTCAGTCCTGGTCTCAGTCCTGATCTCAGTCCTGGTCCTGTTCCCGGTCTCAGTCCTAGTCTTATTTCTGGTCTGATCCGGTCTCAGGCCCGGACTCAGTCCCCAGTTTCAGTCCTGGTCCCTGGCTCAGTCTTGGTCTGGTCCCGGTCTAAGTCTCGGTCTGGTCCTAGTCTGGTCCCGGTCTGGTCCCGGTCTGTCCCGTCTCAATCACGGCCTGGTCTGGTCTGGTCGGTCTCCGGTCTGGTCTAGTCCCCGTCTCAAGTCCCCGTCTCAATCACGGCCTGGTCCTGGTCTGGTCCCAGTCTCAGTCCCGGTCTGGTCCAGGTCTGATCCCCCTCTGGTCCCGGTCTGAGTCCCCTTCTCAATCACGGCCTGGTCTTGGTCTGGTCCTGGTCTCAGTCCTGGTCCTGGTCCCGATCTCAGTCCTAGTCTTAGTTCTGGTCTGACCTCGTCTCAGGCCCAGGCTCAGTCCCGGTTTCAGTCCTGGTCCCGGGCTCAGTCTTGGTCTAGTCCCGGTCTAAGTCCTGGTCTGGTTCCGGTCTGGTCGGCCCTGGTTTAGTCCTGGTTTAGTCCTGGTTCAGTCCTGGTTTAGTCCTGGTTCAGTCCTGGTTCAGTCCTGGTTTAGTCCTGGTTTAGTCCTGGTTTAGTCAGTCCTGGTTTCAGTCCTGGTTTTAGTCCTGGTTCAGTCCTGGTTTAGTCCTGGTTTTAGTCCTGGTTCAGTCCTGGTTTAGTCCTGGTTTAGTCCTGGTTTAGTCCTGGTTCAGTCCTGGTTTAGTCCTGGTTTAGTCCTGGTTTAGTCCTGGTTTAGTCCTGGTTCAGTCCTGGTTTAGTCCTGGTTTTAGTCCTGGTTCCTGGTTTAGTCCTGGTTTCCTGGTTCAGTCCTGGTTTAGTCTGGTTTTAGTCCTGGTTTAAGTCCTGGTTCAGTCCTGGTTTAGTCCTGGTTTAGTCCTGGTTTAGTCCTGGTTTAGTCCTGGTTCAGTCCTGGTTTAGTCCTGGTTTAGTCCTGGTTCAGTCCTGGTTTAGTCCTGGTTTAGTCCTTGGTTTAGTCCTGGTTTAGTCCTGGTTTTAGTCCTGGTTTAGTCCTGGTTTAGTCCTGGTTTAGTTCGTTTTTAGTTTTAGTCCTGGTTCAGTCCTGGTTTAGTCCTGTTTAGTCCTTTAGTCCTGGTTTAGTCCTGGTTCAGTCCTGGTTTAGTCCTGGTTTAGTTCTGATTTAGTCCTGGTTTAGTCCTGGTTCAGTCCCTGGTTCCTGGTTTAGTCCTGGTTTGGTTTTTAGTCCTGGTTTAGTCCTGTTCAGTCCTGGTTTAGTCCTAGTCCTGTTTAGTCCTGGTTTAGTCCTGGTTCAGTCCTGGTTAGTTTAGTCCTGGTTTAGTCCTGGTTTAGTTCTGTTTTAGTCCTGGTTTAGTCCTGGTTCAGTCCTGGTTTAGTCCTAGTTTAGTTCTGGTTTAGTCCTGGTTCAGTCCTGGTTTAGTCCTAGTTTAGTTCTGGTTTAGTCCTGGTTTAGTTCTGTTTTAGTCCTGGTTTAGTCCTGATTAAATTCTGTTTTATGACCTATTTTAGACCTGGTTTAGTCCTGCTTTTAGACCTAGTTTAGTCCTGGTTTTAGTCCTGGTTAAATTCTGGTTAAATCCTGGTTTAGTCCTGTTTTAGACCTGGTTTAGTCCTGATTAAATTCTGTTTTAGACCTGGTTTAGACCTGGTTTAGTTCTGGTTTTAGACCTGGTTCTGTCCTGGGTTAGTCCTGTTTTTCGTCCTGGTTTAATTCTGGTTAAATCTTGTTTCAGTCCTGGTTTAGTCCTGTTTTAATCCTGGTGTTAGACCTGGTTTAGTCCTGGTTTTCGTCATGGTTTAATTCTGGTTAAATCCTGGTTTAGTCCTGTTTTAGTCCTGGATTAGTTCTGTTTTAGTCCTGGTTTAGACCTGGTTTAGACCTGGTTTAGACCTGGTTTAGACCTGGTTTAGTCCTGGTTTAGTCCTGGTGTAGACCTGGTTTAGTGTTTAGACCTGGTTTAGTTCCTGGTGTTTAGTTCTGGTTTAGTTCTGGTTTAGTTCTGGTTTAGACCTGGTTTAGTCCTGGTTTAGTCCTGGTTTAGTCCTGGTTTAGACCTGGTTTAGACCTGGTTTAGACCTGGTTTAGTCCTGGTGTAGACCTGGTGTATACCTGGTTTAGTTCTGGTTTAGTTCTGGTTTAGTTCTGGTTTAGTTCTGGTTTAGACCTGGTTTAGTCCTGGTTTAGTTCTGTTTTAGTCCTGGTTTAGACCTGGTTTAGACCTGGTTTAGACCTGGTTTAGACCTGGTTTAGACCTGGTTTAGTTCTGGTGTAGACCTGGTGTAGACCTGGTGTAGACCTGGTTTAGACCTGGTTTAGTCCTGGTTTAGTCCTGGTTTAGTTCTGGTGTATACCTGGTTTAGTTCTGGTTTAGTTCTGGTTTAGTTCTGGTTTAGTTCTGGTGTAGACCTGGTGTAGACCTGGTGTAGACCTGGTTTAGACCTGGTTTAGTCCTGGTTTAGTTCTGGTTTAGTCCTGGTTTAGACCTGGTTTAGTCCTGGTTGGGTTTAGTTCTGGTTTAGTTCTGGTTTAGTCTGGTTTAGTTCTGGTTTAGTTCTGGTTTAGTTCTGGTTTAGTTAGACCTGGTTAGTCCTGGTTTAGTTCTGTTTTAGTCCTGGTTTAGACCTGGTTTAGTCCTGGTTTAGACCTGGTTTAGACCTGGTTTAGACCTGGTTTAGTGGTTTAGTTCTGGTTTAGACTGGTTAGACCTGGTGTAGACCTGGTTTACCTGGTTTAGACCTGGTTTAGTTGGTTTAGTCCTGGTTTAGTCCTGGTTTAGTCCTGGTTTAGACCTGGTTTTAGTTCTGGTTTAGTTCTGGTTTAGACCTGGTTTAGTTCTGGTTTAGTTCTGGTTTAGTTCTGGTTTTGGGGACCTCTGTTATAGGCGATGACGATGATTTCTCGAGGCTTCTCGGTTGATTTCCAAGTCCCGTTCTTTTTGTGGTCTCCAGGAGAACTTCACGGACGAATGTCGCCTGAAGGAGACTCTGCTGGAGAACCACTACAACACGTACTCGTCTGAGCTGTACCCCGGACTCCACCTGGGCCTGTCCCACCGCGGGGACGTCAAGAGGGGCACCAGAGTCACCCCCAACCAGCCCTGTGCCCACTTCTTACCCCGGCGGACGCTGTGAGGGACCACGGACTTGATATTGAGGAGAAACCAGGTCCCGGGGCTTTCAAATCGACGGGCAGAGCTCAGTGGTTCGTGTCTCCAGATTAGTCTCGCCCGGTGAGGTTCTTCCGGTGTCTCTGTGCCGATTGTGTTCATGGATCACGTGATCGCTTTGACCAATCAGAGCGAGAGGAGCTGGAGCTGAGCCGGTGTTCTGTCGAAATGGGCTGCCCCGTCGAAATGAGCTTCCAGCAGCTTCAGGGCCTCTCCACACGACTAAGTTTTTTTGGTCGAAACGCTGAAGTTTTTGTTCGTTTTGGCCTTTCGTTCCACACGGAGTCGGCGTTTCGGGCGGGCGAAACCTGTGTTTTTTGAGCACGAGCAAACTGCAGCTTTTGGAAAACGATGACGTCGCGACCTCGTCATCTCCAGGGTCCTCCGAAGGCAGCGAATGCCGGAGAGAACCAGGACTGAACCAGGACTGAACCGGGACTGAACCAGGACTGAACCGGGACTGAACCAGGACTGAACCGGGACTGAACCGGGACTAAAACAGGACTAAAACAGGTCAGGGAGCAGACTGGAACCAGATCAGAACCTGTTTTAATCCTGTTTTAGTCCTGGCTCAGCCCTGTTTTAGTCCTGTAATAGTCCTGTTTTAGTCCTGTTTTAGTCCTGGCTCAGTCCAGTTTTAGTCCTGGCTCAGTCCAGTTTTAGTCCTGGTTCAGTCCTGGTTTAGTCCTGTTTTAGTCCTGGCTCAGTCCAGTTTTAGTCCTGTTTTAGTCCTGTTTTAGTCCTGGCTCAGTCCAGTTTTAGTCCTGTGTTAGTCCTGGTTTAGTCCTGTTTTAGTCCTGGCTCAGTTCAGTTTTAGTCCTGTTTTAGTCCTGTTTTAGTCCTGGCTCAGTCCAGTTTTAGTCCTGGTTTAGTCCTGTTTTAGTCCTGACTTAGCCCTGTTTTAGTCCTGTTTTAGTCCTGGTTTAGTCCTGGTTTAGTCCTGGTTTGGTCCTGTTTCAGTCCTGGTTTAGTCCTGGTTTAGTCCTGGTTTGGTCCTGTTTCAGTCCTGGTTTAGTCCTGTTTTAGTCCTGGTTTAGTCCTGTTTCAGTCCTGTTTTAGTCCTGATTTAGTCCTGTTTCAGTCCTGTTTTAGTCCTGGTTTAGTCCTGGTTCACTCTGGCATCGCAGTTAAGTCACATAAACGGGAAACAGTCGTTTGGAGACAAATAATCAAGAAAATAGTTGTTTTTTTTCTGTTTTCTTATTTTTAGTTTTATTTTGAAAAACAAATGAACGATTGACACACAGATTTAAGACTCTGCGTGGATGAACCTCTTCTTCACTGAGGCTTTTCCTGTTCACCTGGCGCCCCCTGGAGGCTGCTGGGACGCTGCAGGACACACAGGAGAGGGACACTTCTGGGATGAAAATATTGTACCATATTTGTAAAATTATAAAGCTCTATTTTTGTAACCAAGCCTCTGTCTCGTCTTTGTACAGTCAAAGTAGTAAAATATTGTACTTAAGCATGTATTTAAGTTAGGGTGACCAAACGTCCGTTTTTCCCTGGACATGTCCGTATTTTGCGTCTTGTCCTGGGCGTCCGGGTTTTTTTTTTTTATAAAGTGATGCAAATGTTCGGGTTTTCAGTATCGTTCATTGGGGGCATTAAACTGAGCGTCTCTCGTAGTGTCTGTGACTCAGAAGCAGCGAGACACAGTCGGTCAGTCTGCGTGCATGCGGTGACGCAAAAGTGTGTGGATTTCGGTTGTGTATGCATGACAGGGGGCTCGGTGGTGATGTATGTACGTGACGTGAGCAGATCTGACCAGAGTTTTGCGTCTTGGGCAGAGTAGACAGAAACGCTACGGTGTATGGCAGCCAAACTGTTCACATTTACGCATATATTTAACGTGTTTAACACCGTATTTGACGCGTATTACAAGCTTACTAGTTAAGTTAAGTTCTGACGCGTCAAATTATTCTTATTTAACGAGCCAAATTATTCTACATATGATAATGATCTTCTCCCACTGTTTTTCCGAGTCAATGAATTTAAAGTGTTTTCAGCCAATCACTGACCAAGACAAAGAGTCCAGAACAGTCCAACACTGATGCTCCTATACTAGGGAGACCAAACGTCCATTTTTCCCCGGACATGTCCGTATTTTGCATCTTGTCCTGGGCGTCTGGGTTTTTTTTTTTAAGTGATGCAAATGTCCGGGTTTTCATTAAAGTTCATTGGGGACATTAAACTGAGCGTCTCTCATAGCGTCTGTGACTCAGAAGGAGCGAGACACAAACAGTCGGTCAGTCTGCAACACACCGAAGCACAAATGCACATTTAACAACGACTTGTACAAGAAATTCTCCGTTTTCTGTCCCGGTCGTGTGAAGTGTGAGTCCATGTGCACAGGTTGTGAGGTGAGAGGACAGTGTCCCTCGTTTATCGTGGGGTTATGTTCTAAAAATAACCCGTGATAGTTGAAATCCACGAAGTATCAACTTTATATTTTACAATTATTCTATCTGTTTTAAGTCTGTAAAACCCCTCACCACAAACTTTATACACTTTTCTCACACAGAACAGTTACAACACTTTTTACTTCCTTCTTAAAACTTGTTTCTGTTGTCGTCCTTTTGTTATTTTCCTCCGTCTTTATGTAACAAACTGAAGATTCATTTATTCCGTAATGGAGCCCAAGAGCAGAGTCCTGCACAGGTCCATTTTTGGAGACCTGCAGTACAACACCGCACCCACGCAGGACAGGACCGCACCTGCCCGTTAACCTGAGATTATATCAAACTTTTGCGCTGCCTACGCCACGGACTGAACCAAGACTAAAACAGGACTAAACCAGGACTGATTCCAGGACTGAAGAGGACGACTAAACCACGACTGAACCAGGACTAAAACAGGACTAAACCAGGACTGAACTAGGACTAAAACAGGACTAAACCAGGACTGAAACAGGACTCAGTGTCAGGACGGGCTCGGAGGTGACGCAGGAGAAAGGACCGGCTCAGCTCCGCACCTCACGGAGTTAAACAAGGCAATTGCCCGATCGCGCTTTGCGGACAAACTGCTCGGCGTTTTCTCTCTTAAATCCAAGATTAGTCCTGGTTTAGACCTGGTTTAGTCCTGACCCACCCGTGTGTAATTACCCTCCTGTAATACACAATACACGTTCATACGCTGTTAAAAAAAAAAAAAAAAAGAAATCAGAGAAACGGTGAGGCCCCCCTCCCCCAAGGTGTCCGGGTTTTCACAAACGGAAACATGGTCACCTTAATTTAAGTATCTGTAGTGGATACTTTTTACTTTTACATCACTATATTTGAGAGCAGGTATCTGTACTTTCCACATTTTTGACCCAGACTGAAAAGTAAAAGTACCTCACACATAATCGTCACTCCTCTTACTCGTTGGTGCTGTTCACAGGTGTAGATGAAGATGTGATGTGTGATTTGTTTTGTCCCTGGGAGCATGTGAGACCAAACGATCACACACCAAATAGGCTATGTTTTCTTTTTCCACGAGCTTCTCTTAGTTTAGGTAGAAGTTCCCTTCTTTTTTTTGTCTAACCTCCTCTGAAAAGTCCTCCTGAATATACACTCCCGGAGCAGTCTTCCTCGATTCTTTTCGATTCTTCCAAACCAGCTGTCTGTCTTTATCATTTGAAAACTTCACTATAATAGATCCAGGGTGAATCTGGTTCTCACTATTGTCCATTTTGTCAACAAAGTCTCAAGTCCTAAAAATAGTGACGCAAATTTGACTTGAGTCCAATAATAATAATAATAATAATAATAATAATAATAATAATAATAATAATAATAATAATAAATAATAATAATAATAAACAAAACATATTATTATTATTATTATTATTAATATTATCATTATTTTTATTATCATTATTAATAATAATAATAATAATAATAATAATAATAATAAACATAATAGTAAACACATTATTATCATTAATTATATCCATGTGCAATTATTTTTAAGTCTATTTTTAAATTATTTTTAAGCTATTATTTATTATCTGTGTTACCTTTTCCTGCTGTTCTGAAATTGTGCGTTGCAACATTGGAATTTCCCCACTGTGGGACTAATAAAGGCATATCTTATCTTATCTTATCTTAATAAACATATTATTATCATTATTATTAATATTATCATTATTATTATCATTAATAATAATAATAAACATAATAGTAAACATATTATTATCATTATTATTATTATTATCATTAATAAACACAATAAACATATTATTATTATTATCATTAATAATAATAATAATAATAATAATAATGCTTTTTATTTATAACGCACTTTACATTTACAAATAAATCTTAAAATGCTACAGAACATTCAAACTTTAAAAACAACAGAAAAAGAACTGAAGAAAAAGTCCCGTGTCTCATTTCTCTGCCTGAAATGTTCCACAGTGTGACTTTAAACAGCTCTACTTCACATTTATTCAGCTACACGTGGATTTAAAGCTCAAAACACCAAGAAAAACAGGCGGGGCAGAGGAGAGAGGCAAACGCGCCCCCTGGTGTTCAGTTTTGTTTTTCACATCTTGGAGTTAAGTTTCGTTTTTACACCATCGTCACTACAGCACTACATGTACCGAGTCACAGTCTGTTTGACCGCGCGCTAAAGAGACTCAGGTCAGTGTAACCCTCTTTATAAACGTACATGTCATTTTCTGTAATTATTAACTCGTGTTTAATAATGAACAGTGCGCAGTGATGGGAGGAGCCAATCACAGTACTGTTATGTTCTGAATACTTCACGCGCCGTTTTCTATTTCTTTAACTAATCCTGTGCAGTTTGAAGCTAAATTGTGCGATCAGGTTCTGCAGTGTTTCCTCCAGGCTCCTCCGTGTTTCTATCAAAGAAAGACAGAAGATATAAACATACAAATAAGAACATGAGACTGTGGCAAAACCAGTTTAAGAGTCAGAAGTTTACCTGCTGTTAAAATGTGGTTGTATCAAACAGAACACTGCTGTATTTTGTTAATAGGTATAAAATATTATTACTTGAAAAATCCTGGTGGAAGTTTGAGTTGTTTTGGAGAAGTTGCTGCTTCTACCGTATCCCTATTAGTTTGCGCATGCGCAGTGCGGCACCAGCGCTGGTAAATCAGGATACTGGGTGTTATTTTCATAGATCCATGTGTGTTTCCCAGTTGCGAGGATCCTCGGCTGCAGATCACATTATTATCAGATGCAAACGCAGCAGAATCTCTTAAAGAAGAGGATTGGGAATACAATTATCTGATCATCTGAAAAAGTTTCAGCCTGTGTATTTATTTATTTATTTATTTATTTATTCATTCATTCATTCATTTGGGCTGATCTCAGCCTAAATAATTCATTACCAGGATTCACTCAGCCTTTATTATTCACATGTTTAATGCCTGTGACACAGAAAAACACCTCTGAACACTTCATATTTGTAGAAGTGTTGATGTTTATTAAAACTCAGAGTTTTATGGCGTTTGATTTGGTCATGTGACATGGAGCAGTGACTCCCTCTGGAGCCTGTTCCCGGGGCCCTCCAGGAGCTGAGAGCAGGACACTGGTCTCTGCTTCAGAGGAGCCGAGTCCAGAGCAGTGACACAAAGTCTGTTCTGCTCTTTGGAGGGAGGATCCTGGGACTTGAGAAACACTCACTGTGTGGAAACGCCACAGTTTCCTGGATACTGTCAGAGTTTGTGAGGGGCCCCTCCCTGGGCCCTGGGTAAACTGTGTCTTTACTGGTGCTGGGTCAAATACTCAGTTTTGTTACTTAAAGTTATGAAACATTAGGTTTTGTTTCTTATTTTAAGGCCAAAGACAAAGTATTTGTTCTTCAAGACGTATTTTCATATTTAAAGTACAAAAAGTCTCGCTGCACTGATAAATCATTTTACTGATCGAGTGAAATTTACTCAAATCATGATCAAACTTTCTTAATTCAAATGATCTTAACTTGGCTAGATTTGAGTTTTTTCAGTGTTGGGCTGGACCAAAGAGTAATAGTAATAGTAACAGTAACAGTAATAGTAACAGTAATAGTAACAGTAATAGTAATAGTAATAGTAACAGTAACAGTAATAGTAATAGTAACAGTAATAGTAATAGTAATAGTAATAGTAACAGTAACAGTAACAGTAATAGTAATAGTAACAGTAACAGTAACAGTAATAGTAACAGTAACAGTAATAGTAACAGTAATAGTAATAGTAATAGTAACAGTAATAGTAACAGTAACAGTAATAGTAATAGTAATAGTAATAGTAATAGTAATAGTAACAGTAATAGTAACAGTAATAGTAATGTAATGTGTAATCTGTTGTGAACCAGATCAAAGATCGGAGAGAGTCTCCACCAGCTCCGTAAAACAACACAACACACAAGTCCACGAACATACAGCAGATCTGACACGACCCTGAGCTGAGATGGAGACTTACACAGAAAAGATAGAGATCACAGAAGGAAACAAACACCTGACGTTGCCTGAATTAAAGGAGCCTGAACAAAAACAGCAAAAACCCATAAAATATCTGCAAAAGATTTCACCAGATAATAGATATAAAATCCCAGCCTACCCCAGACCAGAGCTCCACATCACCCACGTGAGCCACAGCACCAAGTGGGAGGGTTTGGACGGTATCAAGACTGACGGAGGATTCAGAGATCCAAAAATGAACAGTAGGGTGAAGGTGGTGTGGTTCAGTCTGAATGTCACTCCTGAAGATCTGAGCGACGCAGAGACCAGGGAACCTGACGATAGTGCGTCCAGGAGGAGTCGAGAGCAGTCTGCACCGATCAGGAGAAGAGCTCAGGAGGAGGCAGGTGGAGCTCAGGGGGAGGCAGGCAGGTGGAGCTCAGGGGGAGGCAGGTGGAGCTCAGGTGGAGCTCAGGGGGAGGCAGGTGGAGCTCAGGGGAGGCAGGTGGAGCTCAGGTGGAGCTCAGGGGGAGGCAGGTGGAGGAGGCTGGAGGCAGGGGAGGCAGGTGGAGCTCAGGGGAGGCAGGTGAGGAGGCAGGTGGAGCTCAGGGGGAGGCAGGTGGAGCTCAGGGGGAGGCAGGTGGAGCTCAGGGGGAGGTGGAGCTTGGAGCAGGGGTCCTGGTGAGATTTGCCACGTCTCCGGTGTTTTTGTCCAGTTCCAGGTACGGCTCGTATCGTTTCACCTTTGACCTGCGGGACGTCCTGCAGCAGTACAGCGAGCAGGTGAGATCTGTGTGTTCTAATGTCAGAGTTAGACCTGTGTGTCTGTGTGTGTGTGTGTGTTTGTTCTGATGTCAGTATTAAACCTGTTTCACTTTCTCTGTTTGTGTAGTTTTGTGGTGGTCAGACTCCTGTCATGAGAAAGTGGAAAACCGTGCTGTACTCACAGGAAGTGATGTATGCAGTGCTGGTCCACAGCCCGGATCATGAGGACCAGAAGGCCTTTGAGGACCAGGAGGTCTTAAAGAACCCTAACCTTAAGAACTGTAAAATCAGAGACGTCCCTCTGCTGGAGGATACACCAAACAGCATCTGTGCGTTCAGACAGGAGCCTGAGCCGCACTTCGTCTGGAGACCACAGGCCATGTGTGAGACACACGAGTAAGACACTGTTACTCTGTACTTTCTGTATTTTCTCTCTCTGTCTGTGTCAAACTGCTGTAAAATGTGTTTTGTCTGTTTCTTTCAGGTTGGAGCTGGTGGGCACTGGGGAGGATGTGTCTGTTGAAGATGGTCATTGTGAGTTTTTCGTGTGGGATCATGTGGCTCTGGCTCTGGTCGTGGGTGAGGAGGTAAGATCACTGTTCTGTATCTGTACATGTGTCTGTTTCACTTCCTCATCAAAGTTACAGAGTTTTTCTAAAGTTGTAAAGTTTGTTTATGAAAAGCTTCTCTCTGGTTCCTCGTCCTTCCTCATTTGCCTGTGGAACAAAACCTTCATTTGTCTTTACATCAAATGTGTCCTCTGCATTTGTCTCTGGGTTAAACCTGCATTTGACCCATCCTCCAGTGTCTCTGGGTTAAACCATGGACTGTTTACAGAAGTGGACTAAGTGAGTGTGACGTCACCACAGCGTTTGGCTCCGTCCAAATGAAGCTCGTGAGGCGATTACAGGAGCGAACTCCAGATGAGGAATGAGATTTTTTATTAAAGGACAAAATGGCCAAACAAAACCACCAGGATCATGTAGAACAGATTAATACAAACATTTTAAGAGCAAAATAATGAAGCTCACAACAGCAGTTACAGAGAGAGAAGAGCCACAATATTCTAATGTAAGTCAGCGGGAGCCTATGGAAGCTCATTTCCACCAGAAAAGGCTCACAGAAACTTTAAAAAAGTTTAAAGTTTAAAAGTCATAATTATGACTTTTAAACTTTAAAGAAGAGCCTCATGTGAACTTCTGTTTGGAACACGGCGACTGCGCGTTAACTCTGTGCATTTATATAAACAGTCTGTGTGTTTAACACACACATCCTGCAGATTTACCCTGAGCTCTTCTCTCAAACTGAAAACACTCTGTTCCACCTTGTGATGTCATGTGGTGATACAGGAGTAGATTCACTTTGTTTTTAAACTCCACACACCTTCATCTGGATATTTTCGGTCCTGGAATTGCAGATCTTTACTAAAGTAAAGGTAAAAGGAGCTGTTCACTTAAACTGCTGACATCACAAGGTGGAACAGAGTGTTTAGAGCAGGAGTGTCAAACATCCGGCCCTCCAAGACCTTTAATCTGGCCCTCGGCTGATTTTCTACTCAAATATTTTAATGATATTTTCTATTAAAATCAGCGTCTCCAGTGTCTCTGTACGTGGCCCCTCCCACCAGAGCAGCACAAATGAAGACTTGTCTCTTTCCAAACGCTCTTAAAGGACGATCGTTTTGACTGTTGACCGTGACACCCTCATCAGAAAAATGTCCAACATGAGAAAAGTGGAGCCGACTGCAGGATTTTACAACAAGTTAATGTTAAAACATCGTGTTGAAATTGTATTTTTCTTAAAGTTTCAGGTTGTTCATAATATTATAATATTTAGTAAAAGAAAGAGTTCATCAATTAAAAAAGATTTCTGTATTAGATTTGTGTTTCTCTGCTCAAATATTTGATCTTGTTGTTATTTTTGGGGTTTATATGTCATGAGTTTTCTGATCCCTTCGGGATCAAAGTCGGTTGGATACGACCCCCGGAACAAAATGAGTTTGACTCTCCTGGTTTTGAGCTCTGGACATGTAAACAAACTGATAATAAAGAAAAACTCAAACATGTGAATGAAACAAAACACAACTGTGAGGGAACAACAACATGGGCTAAAACTCACAAGAGTCACTTTTGGATAATACAGTACAGGACCTTTAAATGAGTTCACACGTTAGACAGACAGACTCGGGCGGTGGTGCGATTCCCTCTGCATCTGGAGTGTCTTGCTCAAGGACAACTTTGTGTTTATGTTTTCCAGGTGCTGCGTTTCGATGACGATAAGCTGCGGAATAGCCTGAGATTCTGTGAGAGAGGTGAACGAAAAATCAACCTCATGATAACATTTGAGTCATACCACTGTGCCAACAGCTGTGTGCAGGACCTGTGGCCAGATTCAGGAGATCTGGAGAGATATAATAAGTCTCGTTTCCATATTCCTACAGGACATTAAATCTATTTTCTGACCTGTGTTCAGATGTAGTTTCCTCACAAACAGACCTGGAGTTGTGTTTGTTTCATTCACACGTTTAACACACAAACCCTGCAGATTTAGGCTGAGTTTCCGCTCTCTACTGGACAAAAGGTAAAAGGAGCTGTTAACTTGAAAACGACCACTTCGTGACATCACAAGGTGGAACAGAGCGTTTTGACTTTTGGAGATGTAGACAGACAAACACGTGTGAAGGAAACACAACTCCAGGTCTGTTTTTTGAGGAGGTAACAACATTCCAACATTGTTTATAATTCACAAGAGTCAGTTTTGTGGAATATGGGACCTTTAAATATAATCGATAAACTTTTACTTCTGTCATTCTTCTCTTAATCATGTTGAAAGCGTTAATGCATTTGTTCAAAAGTGAAACCAAAGTAATGCACTCTGTAGTTTGGTGCATTTGGAGTTACAGATTTGTAATGTAATTATTGGTCCTGAAGCTCAGAGAGAGAGGCTCAAAGTTAAGCTCCAACCCTCCTCACTGAACCTGTGACAGGGTCAAACGTTTAGGAGTTATTCTGGATCATGAGTTTAGCTTTGAGCCTCACATCAGGTCCATCACTAAATCTGGTTTTCATCATCCAAAAAATATTGCCAGAGTCAAACCATTTCTCTCTCAAGCCACTGCAGAGACTTTGATACATGTTTTTATTACAATTATAATGCTCTGTAAAGCGTCTTTGTGACATCTGTCTGTGAAAAGCGCCAGATAAATTAAAAAAGTTACTGACTTACAAACCGTGTTGATTACTGGGCTCGGTCAAGCAGAAGTAAACAACAAGGCCAAAAATTCAAGTTAATTCATCTGATATAAAAAATGTATTGAACAGATACATATGTCTCTAGTTTATGAAACTTGACCTTTTTTCTGTACCATTTTTGGTTCTAAAGTTCCATACGTTTTAAACAGACCATGTATGAAACATGGAACAAAAATTATTTCCCAAATTTCAAAGACCCAAAAATCCTGTAAATAAATGGATGTATTTCATCATATCTTGTGTTATTCCATCTTTGAACTGTTGATGAAGGTACATGATTTTTTTTTTTAATGTATTTAAAATGATAAAAAATTTGCTTGGAAGGACTGACATATTTTATAGAAATAGTTTCCTTTCATTTTGAAATATTATTAAAGCTGCATGACAGTTGGACAAATGCAAAAACTGAACTGTGATTCTAAAAAACTATGACTGTTTTGTTAATTTGCTTAAAATATTTTGGTGATATTAATGTTTCTTACCTTTGCTCGTTTGTTTAATCTACTTTTCTATTATTTACCTTGGTACCTTCTGTTTTTGGTTTAGTCCGTGGGGATAAAGGTGTGTGGTTCAGTCTGTGTGTTATTCATTCATTTGTTTTTCAAAATAAAACCAAAAATAAGAACATGAAAAAACAACTGTTTTCTTCATTATTTGTCTCCAAAATCAAAATGAATAAACATATAACGATGCATTTTTTTACGTTTTGTATTTTGTGTTTTAAATGAAAAATGGAAAAAAACGGATAACGACCGTTTATGTGACTTAAACTGAGATACAGGACTGAACCAGGACTAAACCGTTTTCAGTCCTGGTCTGGTCCCAGTCTCAGTCCTGGTCTGGTCCTGGTCTGATACCAGACTCACTCCTTGTCTGGTCCAGGTCTAAGTCCTGGTCTCCGTCCCGGTCTGGTTCCGGTCTGATCCCGGACCTGATTCAGTCCTGGTTTAGTCCCGGTTCAGTCTTGGTTTATTCCTGGTGCAGTCCTGGTTCAGTCCTGGTTTAGTCCTGGTTCAGTCCTGGTTCAGTCCTGGTTTAGTCCTGGTTTAGTCCTGGTTCATGTATCCTTGTTGTTTCCCCTGTTAAACCTGGAATAAATTTTGGAAAATGCATGTTTGGATCTGTACATTGAGTTTGTTTTTCTGTACAATGGTCCCTCGTTTATCGTGGGGGTTACCTTCTAAAAATAACCTGCAATAGTCAAAATCCACAAAGTAATCAGCTTTACTTTTTACAGTTATTATGTACAGACGTGTTCAAAATTGTTGGTTTCCTCTGGTAAAGAAAAAAAAAATCAACAATGGTCACTGAAATAACTTGAAACTGAGAAAAGCAATAATAAATAAAAAATTCCTGACAAATAACCAATGAAAATCAGACACTGTTTGTGAATTGTTGTTCAACAGAATTATTTAAAAAACAAACTAATGAAACTTTCCTGGACAAAACTGATGGTTCCCCTAGAAACGATTGTAAATACTTGGACAATAGGGACATGTTAAACTTGGGTGTGTCTCTAATCCGCATCACAGGTTCTTCAAACTTGTCCTCAGTCAGTGTGTCTGTTTAAAGAGCGACATGTGTCATTGTTCTCTGTTTGGAGACATGATGGACACAACACTGAACATGGACCAGAGAAAGAGAAGAAGAGAACTGTGTCAGGAGAATAGAAAGAAATTCACAGACAAGCAGGATAAAGATAAAGACAATAAGACCATCTCCAAGCAGCAGTGACACAGTTCTTCAGAGGTTTAAGGGCCATAGGACTGAAGACAACCTCCCTGGACGCGACTGCAAGAGGAAAACTGATGACAAATTAAAGAATGAAACAAAGAGCCCAGAACAACCTCCAAACAAATTCAATGTGAACTTGAAGGGCAAAGTACATCACTGTCAGATCACACCATCCATCAGTGTTTGAGCCAAAGTGGACTAGTCATTACAGGTGATTTTAATGTACATGTGGATAATGTGTGTGACAAAAATGCCAAAGAGCTTAGTGTTGTCCTTGAAACTTTTGGTCTGACTCAGCATGTCAGTGAGCCCACTCACAACAGAGGACACACTCTGGACCTGCTCATTACAAAGGGTGTAAATATTTCAAATGTCAGTGTGGTTGATGTTGCTCTGTCTGATCATTTCTGTGTCTTCTTTGACCGTCTGTTATTCCCAAACCACCGGCTGCTCCTACAGTTGTTCGAAGGAGACACATAAATGATAACACAGGTGCACTGTTCATGGAAATGATCAATTTTGAAATTGCCTCATGTTCTAATGTTGATGATGTGTTGAACTCTGTGACTTTGAGTGTTTTGAATGTTCTGGATGCCATCGCCCCGATAAAGGTTAAAATGGTTAAAGAGGCAAAAAGCTCCGTGGAGGAATGATGACTCAGTCAGGGCACAGAAAAGGGAGTGACGGAAGGCTGAGCGGAAATGGCGCAAGTCAAACCTCCAGGTTCATTATGAGATTTACAGAGGAACAATGCATATGTACAACTACACTTTGAGTAAAACAAGAGAGAAGTATTTTTCGGACATTATTGGTAATTGCAGTAACAACTCTCGTGTCCTGTTTGCAACAGTGAACAGATTAACAAACCCTCCAGCTTCACTGCCACAAGAACTAATTTCCACATCTAAATGTAATGAGTTTGCAGTTTTCTTTAATGACAAAGTTCAGGGCATCAAAAATGCCATCAATTCCACAACACAAATAACAAGCTGCAGCCACAGAGACACTCAGAGCTGAATCACTTTGCACCTGTAACTGACAAAACTGTTTTAGAGATCGTTACCAGTCTGAGTTCATCTACTTGCTGCCTGGACATGTTACCCACTAGATTTCTAAAGTCTGTCCTCAACAGTTTACTTTCACCACTCACTCACATAGTTAACATGTCACTTCAATCTGGAACATTCCCAAATGCGTTGAAAACTGCGGTCATTAAGCCTCTCCTAAAGAAGAGCAGTCTTGATGCCACAGTACTGAACAATTTCCGACCCATCTCAAATCTGCCGTTTTTTGGCAAAATCCTTGAAAAAGCTGTTTACCAACAGCTTACGAACTTTCTCCAAATGAACAACTCCTTTGATGTTTTCCAGTCAGGTTTTAGAGCCTCCACAGCACTGAGACTGCTCTTATCAAGGTGACAAATGACATCCGCCTGAACACTGATGCAGGCAAAGTCTCAGTCTTGATCCTGTTAGATCTGAGTGCTGCTTTTGACACTGTCGATCATGGATCCTCTTACAGAGACTAGAGGACTGGGTGGGCATCTCTGGTACTGTACTAAACTGGTTCAAGTCCTATCTAGAAGACAGGAAGTATTTTGTTGAAATTGGAAACTGTGTCTCAGATGACATGGCCCTGACCTGTGGGGTGCCTCAGGGGTCAATCCTGGGCCCCCTGTTGTTCAATCTCTACATGCTGCCATTAGGCCAGTTAATAAGCAGCAATAACGTGTCGTACCACAATTATGCAGACGACACTCAGATCTACGTCTCTCTGGCAGCAGGAGACTATGGACCAGTGGAGTCACTCTGTCACTGCATCCAACAGATCAGTGTGTGGATGCAAAAACAACTTTCTCCAGCTAAACTCTGACAAGACTGAAGTCATAGTGTTTGGTCCACAGAAACAAAAGGGACAGTGTCAGCAGTCACCTCCAGTCTCTCTCTCTAAAACCTTCAAATCAGGCAAGAAATCTAGGGGTAATAATGGACTCAGACTTGAACTTTAACAGCCACATCAAATCAATAACATCTGCAGCCTTTTACCATCTAAAAAACATAGCAAAAATCAGAGGTTTACTGTCTAAATCAGACTTGGAGAAACTTATCCATGCATTTGTCTCCAGTAGGTTAGACTACTGTAATGGTCTGCTCACTGGTCTCTCCAAACGAGCTGTGAGACGCTGCAGAACATCCAGAACGCTGCAGCTCGGGTCCTTACTCGAACTAGGAAGTACGAGCTCATAAGTCCTGTGCTCAGGTCTCTGCACTGGCTCCTGTGCCTCAGAGAATAGACTTTAAAACAGCTCTGCTTGTACAAGTCTCTCCATGGCCGAGCACCAAAGTCCATCTGTGACATGTTATGAACCATCTCGCACTCTGAGGACCTCAGGGACCGACCTCCTGCTGGTGCCCAGAGTCAGAACTAAACAAGGGGAGTCAGCGTTTCAGGTTCATGCAGCTAAAACCTGGAACAGTCTGAACATGTGAGACAGACTCTTCTGTGACGCTGTTTAAATCCAGGCTCAAAACATTTCTGTTTAACTGTGCATATAACTGAAAGGTTTTCATTCCGCACTCTTCTCTCCAATTTATGTCTCTCTTTTTTAATTTTTAATTTTAATCTTCATGATTATTTATGTTTTGATTTGTTTTTATTATGATTTTAATGTATTTCTTATTCTGTAAAGCACTTTGAATTACTTTGTGTACGAATTGTGCTATACAAATAAACTTGCCTTGCCTTGCCTTGCCTTCATGTGAGGACACCACTGCTGAGAGAAAATCATAAAATGTGAGACTAGAATTTGTCACA